CCAATGCCATCAACGTGTCCAGGACAGCCTCGCCGAGCCTCAAGCTCCTATTGTCAGGAGGGGTCTGCATCGGGTTAGGGGCGGGGGGGGGGGTTCGGTATTTTGGCCAATTCCTCGTTCAATAAGTGTTTTCCGCGTGAGAGGAAACGGCAACACCCGGCCGCGAAACGTCGGGGACAAGGCCAGGGTGGTGCCTGAGTGGGCGTGCCCCTGTGGGGGGGGGGGGGGGTCGGGTTTGTGAAGGGACGAGAGGTGAGGAGGTTGAGACGTCTGGAGATGTAGTTTGTGAACGTGGATTTCCTGTGTTTGTGCAACGCCGAGCGAGACGATCACTTCCACAGAGGAAGCGAGGCGATGGGTCTAGCGCACAACAAAACAGACAAAGACAAAGCTCCCCCGTATAGCTGTGCATCCTGTTGGGGGCAAGTGCCGGTAGCGAGCACCTATGAAGACTTCGCACCTAGGGAGTGGTGTGGCCAGCATCATACCCGTCCGCCTTTGTCTCCCCAGTGCTGATCTTTACACACGCCGTACCGCGTACTCGTTCAGGGCCGAGTCGACCTAGGGAAGGCGCCGGAGCAGTTCAGGCATCGCTCGCCACTGACGTCAGACGGAATATCACCCGACTCGCTGCGTTGGGAGTGCAATGGACGAGCCACTGCCCTAACCGCTCTCTCACACGCAACAAAGACAAAGATCCCCCGTATAGCCTGGACAGACTGTTGGGGCAAGTACTGTTAGCGAGCACCACTTATCAAGGCCCGTCCCGGCACACGATGGGATTGGTGGCCAACACCACGCCCGGCCGACTTAGTCTCCCCAGTGGCGATGTTTACACACCTCACCAGGTACTCATTTGAGGCTCAGTCGACCTAGGGGAGGCCCATGACCGGTTCAGATCATCGTCACTGATGTTGGCAGTGAGCGGGAATCGAACTCGCGCCGTTGGTTTCGTAGCGCAGCGTAGCCCTAAGCGCTAAACTACACACGCACACACATCCCACCCACACCCCCACCACTCACACAAACGCACATCAGCACACAGGATGTGCCCCGCTATTTTATTAAGTTCCTGTTACTCTCCTCGAACCACTGGGGACCTGGGTTAGAGCCGGGGTCAGGTCGGTTTTTTTTTATCAAAAGGGGACATTGGCGGGGGGGTTTCCCCACTCCTCCCCCACGCGGCCTGCGACCTCCCCCGGTTTCTTCTTCCCGTCCCCATAGACATCACGATTCGGCCCGTCCTGCCACTGTCTCCTCTCTCTACCCCCTCTCGTTCCTCCACCATTATCCAATCTCCCTACCCAGTGCGCGATTAAGATAATGCCGGGCCTGTAGCATGTGTTGTTATAAAGGGGCCCTAATTAAAAACAACACAACTATTAAAACAAATTGTTTTCCTGCCTAGTAAAGTAATTGTATTTTTTCATTTGCTATACAGCCAGATAATGCGACTAATCGTTAACCTGAAACACCCAGTCGTTCATAAAGTTGAAGGCGGGATAGTACTATAGTAATAAAGCAAGTGCAAAATCACTGAACCGGAATTGATAGCTTGAAAGCATTTAGCGCGGCGAGGCCCTTGAAAGTGTGGGGCCCATAGCATTTGTAGCTACTTTTGCTACGAGGATAATCCGGCATTGTCACTACCCCCCACTTCAAACCACCCACCGCTTCTTCTAAGGCGGGGGTCGACAACCTGCGGGTCCGAATCTGCATCTTGGATCTTTGGCTTCCGCCTTGCGGGCAGCCGTTTTAAAAAAAGGGACAACGTCAATTTTAAACATAAAGTAACGTAAATATTTTTTTTATATGGCAGGGAAGGGGGTCCCTATGGAATGTCTTGGCGACGGCAAAATGTACAACGTTCAAACTGTATTGTTCAAGAACAATCAAGGGGGGAATAAACTAAAATAGACGCAGTTTTATTTCATCGCCTATTTTGTTTATTGAAGTCAGAATGCGCCGTAGTCTGCTGTGTGCCAGCTGCTGTGTTGTTTGTGGAGCTCCGCGTGTGTGTGATGCGGCCCTCCGAACCGTTTCGATCAAAGACAAGAACAAAAGTGGCGCTTCTTCTTTGGAAGGTTGTCGACCCCTGTTCTTTGGGCTTGAGAAGACGTCTCTTTGTGAACGATGCAAGCGCCGGCCGATGCGTGAGCCAGTCGGCGTGGCGAGAATTTATGCACTGAAGCGAGTCGGTGAGTGCATCAGTGACGTTGCCTTTTCGTGTTTAGTTTGTTGTTTTTGTTGTCGTGGTCTTTCCCCCGCACCTCCGATTAGTACGGTTGGCTACGTACGGTGCGAAAAAGTTCTGCATACATACAGTGGGTCAATGAGGCAGTTGAGTCGGTCATTTAAAATTACAATGCTTATTTTGACATCGTCTAAATGCGACCGAATCTCAGTGCCGTACTGGATGCTGTACCGAAATACGAGGCTAAATTTGTTTTATAAAGAATGAGATATACTGCCATCAGCCACAGGCAGAGGAAAGAAGAAAAGGGAAAGTAATACAGGTTTTTTTCTCATATTTATTATGGATGATATTGATCGCGAAAGCATATACGTGTTACACTAATTGAGTGTAGGACTTGGAAGAGGGGCGGGGAGTCCACAGCATGGACGGCGGGCGGATGGGAGTTCCAGACTCTGAAACTTTTTATTTTACCAGCTAAGTCCCACTGAGCCATATCGCTCTTTTTCAGAAGCAACCTGGCCACGAATGATACCCCAATGAAGTGAGTTAGCATGTGAAAATGTACAGCACCAAAATACTCTAAACGCGTGATGTTGATTACAAATGTGGAGGGAATAAAACCGGGGGACCCGGAGAAAAATCCACGCGGGGTGAGAGAGACACCGCAAACTCCAAATATTCAGCAGCAGGCGTCAGGGTCGGGATCGAACCCACGACCTATCCTGTATACCAGGCGAGGTAGTTAACATCTCCTAGCCACCGCGGCCACCCAGACAATGGGTGTTGAGGAGGCGAATGAGAGTGACTGTCTCACTGAGCGGAAGGTTGACCGGGGCAGAGGAGGGAACTGGGGGGGTAGGGAGAAGGGTGTAGTGCTCTCGCTTGCTCTTCCTCCACCCCCTCCTCCTCCCCCTCCTCCTCCTCCCAGGGTCCCCCATTCCAGCTCCCACACAGTCCCACTGCTGGTTCTGGGCAAATAATGCATGCACCTAGCCTGGCACAAGTACCGCAGCTAACATCGCTGCCACTTGGCGAATGGTAGATGTGGGTTGTGTGTGTTGTGTATGTTATTGCGTGTGTGTATTGTTCGTGTATATGCTGTTTATGCGTGTTGTGTATGTGTGGATTGTGTATATGTGTGTTTATTGTGTATTTGTGTATGCAAGAGGTGGCGCAATTGCACAGCGCACCGCGCAATGCAACCCAGCCGTCTGAGTTGGATTCTCAGCAACGGCTAAATCAGTGGCGAGTGATATATCTACGGTCTCTTGTGGGTCTACCGGGGGCGACGTGTAAACATCGCCACTGGGGAGACAAAGGCGGTCGGGCGTGGTGGTGCCGGCAACCCCAGGCCCCTCGTGCGCCGTGCCGGGCCTTCATAGGTGCTCGCCCAACAGCGCTTGCCCCAACGGTCTGTTCGAGGCTACACGGGGGATCTTTGCCTTTCGTTTTTTACGATCAGTGGAAACAAGAAGATGCTCGGTGTAGTCGGCACTTTGCTTCGTTCATCATTTCGTAAAATTATTTATTTATTTATTTTTAATAATTTTTTTTGCCTTTCGTGTGGTTTGCGTGAACGTGTAAATTATATCAAGAAAAAGGTCCCTCGCCTCTAAAAGGCTCCACGTGCCCCCACCCAACCCATACACATCTGGGCGCCTGTGTCGTGCCCGCTCACTAATTGTCGTCGCTGACAGCGGGAGGCGATGTTGGGGAATTGATTTGGAGGCGCTGACATGAGAGAAGAGTTAGCCGGGCGGTGGGGAGCGTGGCGTGGGGGGTGGGTGGGAGCCCCAGGGTTAATTAATCACCATGGAAACCGACATCCACAATTTATTGTCCACACGGACGCCGGTCAGATTGACCGTTCCGCTTCCACCCACGCTGCCTCCAAGCGCAACGCGGCAGAGCGGCCGCTGCAGGTCAAGACGACGACGATTCTCGCGGTCCGATGTTCGTCGCCTGCGTTGGCACTGAGCCGGGAATCGAACTCGGGGTGAGCCGGGTTCGCAAAGCAACGCGCTAAGCACTGCGCCACCGCTCCCCACAACAAACAAACAACAACAACGACCGCCACACGCCACCAAGGTGACGTCACCACGGCGCCGGTGCCAGGCTAGGTGCAGGTTGAGGCCATGTGAAGTGTCAAACGCCCGCTGGCAGGAGGTCACGGGGCAAACTCAGGTGCCGTGGGTCGACTGAGAGGACTGGAAGATGCACCACTTGTGCCCCCTACTGTGCCAACTCGCTGTGTTTTAGCCACACGGCTCTCTGTAACAAACACAACACACACACAACACACACACAACACACACACAACAACACACACAACACACACACAACACACAACACACGCCGTCGTCTCTTGATCACTCTTCCTTCTTTCGCCACTACTCGTAAATTCCCCCAACCCAAGTCTATAAGGGAGATCTTTGCCGCCTTGTCGTGTATGTGTGTGTATTGTGTGTGTATGTATTGTGTGTATTGTGTGTAGTTTGTGTATGTATGTGTATGTATCGTGTGTATTGTGTCTGTATGTGTGTAGGTATGTGTGCGTAGATTGTGTATATTGTGTATGTGTATGTATGTGTCTTTGTACGGTCATTTAGCCCGCATGCCCAGCCACCGCATGCCTTAATAGCTTTTGTTCGGCCGGATCGAGGGGGCTAGACGGGCGCGGCACGGACTGGAGAAGAGATGGAGTGATGTGGTACAGGAGGACGTGGAGCTGAGTGGACTTGCCGATGACTGGTACCAGCGGTGTCAAGATCGGCCTCAGTGGAGGAGGCTCGTGAAGGACCGCTACTGGGCAGTTGGAGGCAGTCGCCCTCCAACAACAACGGAGGGCGGAGGAGCGACGCTCACAACAACGAGCGGAGCGCCGGGTGGCTAAAGCACAGCAAGTTGGCACAGTAGGGGGCACAGGTGGTGCATCAGCCAGTCATCTCGGTCATCTCGGTCAGTCGACCCGTGGCACCTGGGTCTGCCCCGTGACCTCCTGCCAGCGGGCGTTCGACACTTCACGTGGCCTCAAGGTGCACTTGGCCTGGCACAAGCATCGTGGTGACGTCACCGCCACTTAGTGGCGAATGGCGGTTGTTGTTGTTGTTGTGTAGTGGGGAGTGGTGGTGTAGCGGTTGGCGCTCTGCGCTATAAACCGGCGAGCCGAGTTCGATTCCCGCTCACGGCCAACACCAGTGACGATTATCTGAACCGGTCCTGGGCCTCCCCTAGGTCGACTCAGCCTCAAATGAGTATCCGGTGCGGTGTAAACATCGCCACTGGGGAGACAAAGGCGGCCGAGCGTGGTGCTGGCCACCCACCCCCTTTTGTACCGTTCCGGCGTTCATAGGTGCTCGCTAACAGCACTTTCCCCTACAGTCTGTTAAGGCTATACGGGGGATATTTGTCTTTGTGTATGTGTGTGTGCATTGTGACCGCACGCGTGCGTGACCTGGTGCAAAATGACGAGTCTAAAAGGACACGGGGAAGATTTGCATCTTCTACTCACTATAGCCTTTTTATTTGTATTTTTTGCTTATTTTTAGTTACAAACGCTACTTTAATGTTTATTTTTTTTGCTCAGACGAGCAACACCTCTCTACTGACCCACGAAGAGCCGACGTGAAGCCATCGGCTGCGAGACCCTCCCTGCCCCTCTCGACGCCACGATCGCACGCATTGAAGCGTCGGCAGTCCCCGCACATTGACGCCCGTGCACATCCCGCCAGGAATCTGCCTGCAGGAGCAACCCCGGACGACTTGCCGCCTACTCCTTTGTGTGTGTGTTGTTCCCGCAGATTTTGTGCTTTTTTGTGTGTTTGTTTGTGTTTGTGTTTTTTTTCCTACTTCGTCGTTCACCCGCCGACGACGGCGCAGCGAGAGTGCAGCGCCGCGTGTGCGCAGCTTCACATCTTAGTTGGCCAACAACGCTCATTTGTCGCATTTCGTCCGTCCGTCCGTTCGTGCGTCCCACTTTTTTTATTTTGTTTAAACGAAAACTCGCCGCGAGTCTTGTTATGGCCAAAGACGACGTTTGTTGGGATCAAGGCGTTCGTAAAGCGCCCCCCCCCTCCCCCACTAACTCTGTCTCGTCTTTGCTCAGCACAAACTTACCGCTCGTGAATCACGCCCGAATTGCGGTTTGTGTTTTTGGCGAATGCGAATTGGGCGAAACCAAGTAAACTTTAAATACCGCCTGTACCCCCCCCCCCACCACACACACACATATACCCACCCATCCACGCTCGCCCCCCCCCTCCTTCATTCCAGGTAATGGTGTGCTCCTCACCCAAAAGGCATTTATTTTCTCTTCACGTCTAGCACACCCACCCCCGTGCCGAATACATTTAGCCACCGCTTCGTCCAACCTACTTGCTGTACATCCATCTCCTGGGCAAAATATAAAGAGGGGCACGTTACACCGTGTTCGTTTGCATGATTCACTAACCCCCCCCTCCGCCCCCGTCACATCGCCGCTCGAGTCACAGGCCACGCACCGCCGCTATCACCGCCGCCGGCAAAATAAATTATCCGCTTAATTCGCGCGTCAATTGAAGCCACGAATTGCCTCTCGCCCGTGTAAATCTCCCCGCGAGCAGAGCGACTCCACTTTAATTGATAAATAAATAAGCAGAGGGTGGGGGCGGTGATAGTGGGGGGGGGGGGGGGGTGGACGAAACGGGTCAACTCGTCGCTGCGTCGTGAACCCGGCGACCCGAGTTTCATTCTCGACGCGCATTCCTTTAAGCGCAAGAATCAATTTTAATCGATGCAATCAATGTTGCATGCCTATTGAACAAATATCGCAACCGGCACCCCACCCCGCCCAACCCTCTTGGGACAGGCGGTGGCAGCACAGCAAGTGGGATCTTTGTGAAGCTGTTTGTGTGCACGTGTGAGTGCTGTCCCCATGCACGTTGCAGGCTTCCTCCCACGTGCAATGGGATCAACATCCCCGACTGTGGCAGGATCCTCCTGAAAATATGTCTTGAGATTCAGCGAGGATTGGAACGCTCTTTTGTTCGATTATAATCGGAAGCCACCGGAGCTGTGCGCTGTTAAATCATCTCGATTGAAAACCCATTTCTTTAGAGCTGATGTGTGTGTGTTTGGTTTGCTGTCCTTCCCCCCATTTCCGATTATCACAGTTGGCTACGTACGGTGCGAAAGAAGTTCAACATACATACGAGGCTTCCCCTGGATAAGTCAATGTTATTGTTGTGCACCCACCCACCTCCCTCCCAAACTCCTGTCTCCTGTTGCCTGAAGATTAAAAACGAAAATGGCATTGGTATAAGCACAAATGAAAGAGGACATTTTTAAACAAACAACTTGAGCAATGTCCCATCTCCATGGCAGCCAGGTCACAGAGGTCGACTCCAATGCAAGCCGGCTCCTCACCTGAGCGATCGGTTGAGCAACTTGGTTGCAATGCATGCAACTGAATTGCTTGTGTGAGGACGTCTCGGCAACCAGTTGCAACCAGTCGCCCAAGCGTCGATCTGCTCGGCGATGTTTTTAGCGGCGTATTTAATCACGTGCCATGCGTTGGCGAGCTACTGTGATTGGCGGTTACAATCCTGAACGTACCATTTTACCTTTGTGGTCCTTACCCCCTCACCTTCGATTCGCACCGTTTGGCGACGTACGGTGAGAAAGAAGATCAACATGCATACGTACAACTTCCTCAATGCGCAACTGCTCGCTCCGATGTGGACAAAGGAGTCGCGGGCGATTATTAAAGTGGCACGCTTTCTGGACAGATTCTGATTGGCACGACTGATCGCTTGGATCCGGACCCGGCGTCAAAGATCGCACTTCACACACTCTGGTGTCTTGAGAGATGTCGCCAGAAAGTTGATGATTTGCAACTGGCATGAGAACAGGAAGGCAGTCTACTGGGGCAACAATTGAGCGAGTGCAGCAAACCCTTCTGAACGGGTCATGTGTGCCCCTTTCCACGAATCGGCACTGACCAGCGTGGTGAACTACAGTCAATCGATCCACCGCGACCGACATGGAGCGGAGTGACACCCGTTCTCAATGCACCATCGTGGGGAATTGAGAACGGCCGGAGGTTTCTGTCGTATCATAACTGAGGCTGCTGAGGTGCATTATGGGAGACGGACAACATCACCTGGAACGTGTCGAGGAGCGCCACTGTTACGTTTAGGCAAGGTCACGTGAGGAAGAAGCCGCCGCTCAACGCATGACCTCAGGTGAGCTCAGGTGAGCTCACGTGTTCAGGTGAGCTCAGGTGAGATCAGTTAAGTGAGCCCAGGTGAGCTCAGCATCACTGGGATGAACCCAGGTTCACTCAGGTGACCTCACGTGACCTCACGTGATCTCCGGTGATCTCAGTTCAAGCCCAGCTTCACTCACGTGAGCACAGATTCACTCACGCTCACAGGGTCACTCGGGCTCACAGGTGAGCAGAGGATCACTCGTGATCTCACCCGGGTGAGCACAGACTCACTCGTGCGCTCACCCGGGTGAGCACAGGCTCACCCGGGTGAGCACAGGCTCACTCGTGATCTCACCTGGGTGAGCACAGACTCACTCGTGATCTCACCCGGGTGAGCACAGACTCACTCGTGCGCTCACCCGGGCCAGGTTCACTCGAGCTATCACACAGGTTCACCAGGGCGGGGGGGGGGGGGTGGGGGGGTGCGGAAGCTCAGGTGCGCTCCACGTAGTTGGCGGGCAGCATGCCGGTGGCTCCGGTGCGTGCCACCGTGCCGTAGAGCCAGCCGTCGTCGATCCGCTGCACGTTGCAGAAGAGCTCCCCCTCGGCGAAGCTCAGCTCGTCCTCGTCCGCAGCCACGTAGTCGTAGAGCGCGCGGAACGTGCCCTGTTGGTGGGGGGGGCACGGTGGGGGGGAGGTACAGTGGGGGGGGGGGTACAGTGGGGGGGCACGGTGGGGGGAGGCACGGTGGGGGGGGGGTCACAAGATAATTCAGCAGTGGCTCCTGTCCCGTTAGCGAGGACATCTGTAGTGAAGAGCTTTATAGCTCACTGCATTCCTCCGCTATAAATACATAATCTGATTCTGCATTGTCTTTGTCGGGTGGTGGAGGGTGTACGACAGCACACGTTTTGTTTAACACGTAGTAGGCTTTCGCGACCAATATCTATAAGGGTTTTTTGGGGGTTAAATCGCGTAACTATAAATGTGGTGGCGGGTTTAACGACGCATTTATATTTAGGCGATCTAACCCCAAAAAGGCCTGTATTATGAACACAAGCTTTACTCACGCGATGCCTTCAACTAAGAGTCTGCTGGGTGTTTGAACATCTTAACGCCCGTGTGATTGCCAGCAATGGGTAAAAGCCTTTTCTTATTTTTTGTTAAACGATTCCGACGCCCTCGCGATCGCCACCGTCAACACTCACGTCCACCGAGGGGCGGTGGTGGAGCGGGTGGGGGGCCGTCATGGGGGGTAGCGTTCCCTGTTGGGGGGCCGCGCTTGTCTGTCTCGCCTGACCGCCCCCCACGGCCGCTTTCCCCAGCTGGGGGTAGCCTGCAAAAGACAAAGACAAAGGTTCTCCCCCGCCCGTGTAACCTTAACAGACTGTTGGGGCAAGTGCTGTTAGCGAGCACCACCTATGAAGGCCAGCATGGCACACAAGGAGGTGGGTGGCCAACACCACGCCCGACCGCCTTTGTCTCCCCAGTGGTGATGTTTACACGCCACACCAGATACTCATTTGAGGCTGAGTTTACCTATGGGAGAACCTGAACCGGTTCAGATAATCGGCACTGGTGGTGGCGGGAATCGAACTTGGGTCGCTGGGTTCGTAGCGCAGCGAACTAACCGCTACACTACCGCTCCCCACCAACGCACGCACACGCACACACCAGTTCATCTATGAATATCGATTATTGCGCTCTCGATGCCTGCACGGAAAGATGATCTTCGATCTTGTGCGAGTTGGACGCAAGCTTCGGGCCGGCACAGGGACAACAGCCGCCAGGGGGGGGGGGGTCCCTTGGCCAGACTGCAGCAGGGCACTGCGACGTTTGGGATGTGATGCCAAAGGGAGGTTGAGTTTCTGCGGCATTCGGACAATCGCGCTTTGAGTGCCGATCTCGACCCCCCCCCCTCCCCCCCACGTCCCCCCACCACCCCCCCCCCACGCCCCCCCCCTCCCCCCTCACCGGCGTGGCGACCCCCAGGGATAGCACGGCCCCCCGCGGGGCGGTCAGGCGCGGCGGCCCCCACTGGCACCACCCCCGCGTCCTGGTACTTCACCTGTACGGTGGGGGGGAGGGGGGGTAAGGGAGTGTGCGGTCAGGGGGAGAGGGAGAAAAGAGAAGAGAGACGGTGGTTAGGTGGAGAGAGGGAGAGAGTGGGGAGGAAAGATGGGGCTTGGTAGAAGGTGAAAGGTAGGCGGTGGTGCGTAGGGTCAGAGAAATGAAGGGGTCAGGGAAGAGGGAGAGATGGGTCACGGAGGGAGGGAGGGAGGGAGGGGAGGGGAGGGAGGTATGAGAGGCAGATAAGGCAGGAGATGGGTTCGGAAAAGGCTGCGGGAGAGGAAGAGGAGGAAGGGGGAGAAAGTTCAGGAAGAGAGATCAGGAAGTACATCCCGCACCTCCGATTAGCACGGTTGGCTGCACACGATTTCGAAACAAGTTCAACATACGCACATATGGGAAAGAGAGAGAGAGAGATGGTCATGGTTGTGAATCCATTTTAAGGGGTCGCCAATTGTGCATCGGAGACTCGCGATTTGATCTCAGTGGATTATCACGTGGTTCTCAGGGTGAATCGTCCAGCAGGTGTTTGAGTGATACAAGTCAACGTTGTGCGGTCGAGGGTGTGAGCGGGGCAGGGCAAGGCCACACAGCGGCAAGATAGTGCGGTGCAAGAGGGCAACACATGCCAGAGCAAGGCTGGGAAGGTTTAGCGCACATCAAATTTAAGGTTAGCGTAGGGCAGCTGTTTAGGGCAAGGTGAGGGCAGTTGGGAGCAGTTGAGGGCAGACCCACGTTGCTTATCTGCTCCTGCGCCTTCTTCATGCGCCGCAGCTCGGGAGTGTCTGGCACGAGGCTGAACGCCTTTCCCCGGCTCTTCTCGAAGTCCTCCTTGTATTTCACCTGCAGAGGGACACGTGACATTTAAACACGTGGCGTTTAAACACGTGGCGACCACGTGTGCAAAAGCTACCAAACGTCCTTATTTGGACCGGGGGCCGTCCCAGCTTCGGATTGGACGTCCGTCCTGGGTTTCACGAAACACTTGGCCCTGATTTGTTTTTATCTGGCCTCATAGAGGCGGGGCCATCGTGAAAGGGAAAAGCGAGGCCACTCACGGGTGTGGGGGGCGGTGGTGGAGGGGGGCTGGCGGGGAGAGGGGTCACAGCTCATCACGTGTCCCGGTTGAGCCTCCCAGAAATGTGTAGTGTCGTTTAGTTTAAATCACACGGTGGTGAGCACGAGAGAGTGGACGGGCGGGTGAGCCAGCCACCTGAACCAGTGACAGTCCTGTTATCTTGAAACGTGCGTATTCCAGCCGCTGTTTGTTAAACAGGAACACTAACCGTGGTCTGGATTTGATTTTAAACTGTAAAAATAGTTTATATTTTATCAGGTAAGGCCCCACTGAGCAAGAAGCCACCTGGCCACCAATGACAGCTCAAAGCCGTGGCTTATCGCGTGGAAGTTTATCGGAGCCAAATACTCTAAACGCGTGATGTTGATTCTAAATGTGAAGGGGAAACCCGGAGGACCCGGAGAAAAATCCACGCGACCACGGAGAGGGCCATGCAAACCCCAAATAGGCAGCAGCAGCAGGCGTCAGAGTCAGGATCGGACCCACGACCTCCTGTAGACCAGGCGAGGGAGCTAACATCTCGCCACGTTGGCGCAGCCTGTTAAATAATTACGGCTGGGTTGTTTTGGTGCTATATGCAAAACCCTTCCAAAAACACGGTGGTGGGGACTGATCAGGGCAGTACAGCAACAACGTCGACATCAATGACCGCTTGTCTCAGTAAACATGCTACGTTAGGCAGACCTCAACCAAACGTCAACCAACGTTTGCATGTTTACCGCGTTTTTTTGCCAGATTATGAACGTGAATGTATATATATATTATTGTTGTTCTTTGAGTGAGCCACGGTGAGGACCGTGCGAGTGACCTGGCTCTGTAGTTCGCTCTGCTGCTTGAGTCTCAGGTTCTCGGGGGTGTCCGCCACCGTGGTGAACGTCTGTTTGGGGTAGTGCCTGCGTCGCGGCAACATCATCGTCGTCATCAACAACATCAACAACATCATCAGCAACATCATTGTCGTCATCAACATCAACAACATAATCATCAGCAACAACATCAACAACATCATCAACAAAATCATCGTCATCAACAACATCAACAACATCATCATCGTCAAGACCATCAACAAGATCAGCAACATCATCATCAGCAACATCATCATCGTCATCAACAACATCATCAACAACATCATCAACATCATCAACACCATCGTCATGATGATGGTCATGCTGCTCAATAATGATTGGCACAAATGAACCACAGAACCTCGCTCATCTCCGCCAAGGAGCACAACACCCATCACGTGACACTCCGCTCGTCATCCTCGTAGCAGCAGCAGCAGCGGCGGCGGCTTCTCGTTCAGCCGTCGAGCAAAGACGGCGGCCACCGAATCGTCGCGCGGCGCTTTCAGATGACGCTGCTTCTGCGGCCCGACTGGAACGCGCTCTTCCCTTTGCAACTTTTCAATCATCAACCACCACCACCAACCAAATATGTCCATTCTATTTCAAGTGCCACGCTCCTCAACCTTGAAAAAATCCCGTACCACCCGCTCTGTGCGTCCTAGAGCCCGTGCCATCAACGTGATTAGATCGCCACTGTGAAGAGGAGGGTTGTGTGGCGAGTGGGTGGGCGGCATCCCAGGTCCGGGTTTAGATAGCAACAGCGTCACAGACGCGCAGCCGTCGTCGGGAAGCCCGGCAGGGGTCGCCGGGTTCATGGCGCAGCGAGTTGAGCCGCTGTGCCTCCCCCCACCGTCCACTGTCCACCGCCTCACAATTAACGTGGAGTCGCTCTGCTCGCGGGGAGATTTACACGGGCGAGAGGCAATTCGTGGCTTCAATTGACGCGCGAATAACGCGGAGAATTTATTGCCGGCGGCGGTGATAGCGGCGGTGCGTGGCCTGTGACTCGAGCGGCGATGTGACGTGGGGGGGGGGGGGGTCATGCAAAAGAACACGATGTTCTGTGCGCCTCCTAAGAGGTGGTCACAAGATGGATGTACAGCAAGTAGGTTGGACGAAGCGGTGGCTAAATCTATTCGGCACGGGGGTAGGGTCTGCTAGACATGAACAGACAATTCATGCCTTTTGGTTGAGGAGCACACCGTTACCACAAGATGGATGTGCAGCAAGTACGTTTCTGGCATATATATTCAAATATACATGCCAACAATAACGGCCGCGCACTGCCACCAAGTGACAGTGACATCACCACAGCGCTTGTGCCAGGCTAGGTGCAATTCGAGGCCGTCACGTGAACTGTGGAAGGCTCGCTGCTGACAGGCAGAGGTCACGGGACAGACCCAGGTGCCATGGCTTGCCTGGCTGAGATGACTGGCAGATGCACCACCTGTGCTCCCTACTGTGCCAGGCTAGGTGCAGGAGGTCACGGGACAGACCCAGGTGCTATGGCTTGCCTGGCTGAGATGACTGGCAGATGCACCACCTGTGCTCCCGACTGTGCCAGGCTAGGTGCAGGAGGTCACGGGACAGACCCAGGTACCAAGGCTTGCCTGGCTGGGATGACTGGCAGATGCACCACCTGTGCTCCCTACTGTGCCAGGCTAGGTGCAGGACGTCACGGGACAGACCCTGCAGGTGCCATGGCTTGCCTGGCTGAGATGACTGGCAGATGCGCCACCTGTGCTCCCGACTGCGCCAAATTGCTGTGCATTTACGACAAATTCTCAACACATTCGTAAATAACACTGCCTTCAAAGGATCGATAGAAATAAATATAATTCTTGCGTATGATTTTGCATACACATCAATGTACTACAACCTAGGGTCATTGCCCTGAAACGTTACTCAATTCTACATTGTTTTCCCCTGTAGGACGCAGCGCAGGGTGCAGTGCATGACACGCACACACAGACAGGCCCAGACACACACACACTCATACAAAGACACACGCACTCGTAAAAAGATCTTCCGCATAGCCTCCATAGCCTGTTGGGGTAAACGCTGTTAGCGAGTAGCACCTATGAAGGCTGACACTGGCACACGAGGGGGTGGGTGGCCACCAGCACGCCTTTATCTCCCCAGTAGCGATGTTTACACACCGCACCACGTACTCATTTAAGGCTGAGTCCACCTAGGAGGAGGCCCAGGACCGGTTCAGATATTCGTCACTGAGTGTTGGCCGTGGGCGGGTATCGAACCCGGGTCGCCATGTTCGTAGCGCAGCGCGCTAACCACTACACTACCGCTCCCTACCCACCCGCCCGTCCACCCGCACGCACGCACGCACCTACACACACCAACGATTGCGCACCCTGAAATTTAACGAGCCAGCGAGCGCTTCCCCCACCCCTCCTCCTCTCTCCTGGTTACCGGTGACCAAGCAGACGGCGCCGATAACGCGCGCCGCGCGCCGGGTGGGCGGTGATAGCAGCGACCGCGCGGAGGGGTTTCCTCCTGACCTAAATACGCCACTAATTGATTACCGATATGGGGGTTGACAAAGAGCCTCGCGCGCGCGCGTGCGCGTGGTTTTTGTTGGTGTTTAAATCCCCGGCAAGGTAGGTAGCGAGCGACTTTAACGCCTTCCGAAACCCAACGAAATGCGGCGCGCGGCGGAATACGACGAGAGGAGGCGACCGGCGCCGCTGTGTAAACATCGCCACTGGGGAGACAAAGGCGGCCGGGCGTGGTGATGGGCACCCAGCTCCTCGTGGGGCCGTGCCGGCCTTTGTAGGTGCTGTTCGCTAACAGCACTTGCCCAGACAGTCCGTTGCAGGCTATACTGAGCGGGGGGACCTTCGTCTTTATTCGTGCCAGGACTGGTTCAGACATCACTCTACAACAATGTCGGCAGTGGCCGGGAATCGAACCCAGGCCGGGAATTAAACTCGACTACAACAACAACAACAACCGCCATTTACCACTAAGTTGCGGTGACGTCACCACGACGCCTGTGCCAGCCTCGGTGCACTTTGAGGCCACGTGAAGTGTTGAGGGCCTGCTGGCAGGAGGTCACGAGACAAGCTCAGGTGCCATGGGTTGACTGACTGAGATGACGCCTGGCAGATACACCAGCTGTGCCCCCTACTGTGCCAACTTGCTGCGTTTAGTATGTGTAATGACAGTAGAGTCAGCCTGCGGTGTGAGTCGACTGGTGGCCACGGGAGGTAATGACAGGGGAGTCAGCCTGCTGTGCGAATGGACTGGTGGCCACGGGAGGTAATGACAGGGGGAGTCAGCCTGCGGTGTGAATGGACTAGTGGCCACGGGAGGTAATGACAAGGGGAGTCAACCTGCGGTGTGAGTGGACAAGTGGCCACGGGAGGTAATGACAGGGGAGTCAGCTTGCAGTGCGAATGGACTAGTGGCCACGGGAGGTAATGACAAGGGGAGTCAACCTGCGGTGTGAGTGGACAAGTGGCCACGGGAGTTAATGACGGGGAGTCAGCCTGCGGTGTGAATGGACTAGTGGCCACGGGAGGTAATGACAAGGGGAGTCAACCTGCGGTGTGAGTGGAGCAGTGCGAATGGACTAGCGGCCACTGGTGGGTAATGACAGGGCAGTCAGCCTGCAGTGCGAATGGACTAGTGGCCACGGGAATGATCGAGAATAGGAGCGTGGTCAGGTGATGGAAGAGGACGGTAGGGTCCTGCTGGTGGAGCGAGCGTCCAGAGCCAGCGAGAAGGTTCGGGAATGGGGGCGTGGCCTCGGCCCGTATATAAGGGAGAGGGAGATGCACGGGAGACTCGGGACTGTTGCAGTGGGGATCTCCGCCTGTTCGAGTGAAACGCGTCTCGTCAATTTAGAAACCACCTCGAAACAAGTGCGTCGAAGTCGTCATGACATATGTATGCGCGTTGAACTTCTTTCGCGGCCGTACGTAGCCAACCGTGCTAACCGGTTGGCCGCTGCGCGACACCACACACACGTGCACAGCCGGCTACAGCTTGCCGAGGAGGGCAGCACATCATTCTGTGGGTCCTCAACAGCGTCAGAGCTCACGACGTGATTCCATACCCGCAACTCAACGCGACCGCCAACAGCGACCGTGCTCAAAACCGGCGGCGCAACGGCGCGCCCTGGGATTTCCAATATTCCCCACGACCGGCGAGCCACGCAGACCTCTGCAAGGGACTGCCACGGTGTCCATTAGCAACACGAAGCGGTTCACCGGACACGTGACCCGACTCACGCCCAGGGGTTTACCCCAGGGCGTGAGGCCACCCCTGGCGGACTGTACATCTGCTGCACACCGAGCGGTCTTTGTCGTGCGGTGGGCGTCTGTGGGCCACACGAATAGTAAAATAAATGCACACAACAACCGCCATTCGCCACTAAGTGGCGGTGACGTCACCACGACGCTTGTGCCAGGCCATGTGCACCTTGAGGCCACGTGAAGTGTCGAACGCCCGCTAGCAGGAGGTCACGTATTGACATACACATGCATTGACAAGTTCTTGTGTATCCGGTGCTCGTAAGAGTGCACAAGTCACGTGTGAAAGCATTCGCTGAGCAAATGAGAGAGCCGCAGCAGCAGCAGCAGCTGCAGCAGCAGAGGACAACGTTTGACCAAGTCAGATTGGCAATTGACAGGGCCTGGCAATTGGACTTGCGTGCACCGGGCCAGATCAACACACAGTGAGGGTGACGTGGATCACCATCAGCATCTCACACGGGCGCCACGCCTCGCCCCGAGATATACAATCGCAGCATGCATAAGGACCAACAATCCCCTCGGGTGTGATATCACAAACTTTCCGACTGTGGCTCAAGCGCCCCGAAAAGCACGCACACGCGCACGCACGCACGCACGCGCTCACACGCGTCGCCACGCCATCCGCAGCATACGTCTGAAGTGTTATTGTTATTTTAAGCCGTTCTGACCTGTTATATAGACACCGAGAAACAGAAATGTCGGAGGTGATTCATGTTCGCGTGATTCTTCTTTGTTTAAGTCGCCGCTCAATGCGAAAGGACAATGCTCACGCCAGGGATCTCGGGGTGTTGATTCAAAGACTCAACTGGAACTCGCTTTTGTCAAAAGCAAACATCGACCCCCCCCCCACCCTCTGTGCCGCAGGAATCCTCCCATCTTGACAGGGGTCGTCACCGAGGGAGGGAGGGGGGGTCCCCATCGGTCCTCACATCTCTCATTATTGTTTCAGGGATCGTGGGGGCAACTTGAGGCATCGTTGTGCAACGGCACCACGTGTCCCCAGGGGGTACTTATGGAACTCTCCGAGTCAGTATCTTCTCTCGTTTTTCGAAAAACAAACATATATGTAAAAAAAAACTCACTGGCTTCTCTAAATCTAAACTTTTATTTGACCAGGTAAGGTCCCACTGAGCTATGTAGCTCTTTTTCAAATGCGACCTGGCTATCGGAAATGATCGCTCAACGAAGTGGTCTGTCATCATCGTGTGGAAATTGATAGCAGCAGCCAAAAACTCTGAATGCACCACGATTCCAAATGATGAGAGAAAAACCGGAGGACCCGGAGAAAATCCACGCGACCACAGGGAGAGAGAGAGACATGCAAACTCCAAATATAATCCATAATAGATGTGTTTTGGGGTTATATCGCTTAGATGAAAATGCTTCGTTAAACCCGCCACCACCCGACACGGCCAATTAGTAAGGTTTGTCACTTAAACAAAACATGCAAATTCGCTACTAGCACAGCACACCGGTGTGTTGAAGAATAAACCCACAACATTTACAATTCGAGTTCGACGATTCGCCAGTAATTACAGCCAGATTTGGTGGAGGAATCCCCCTCTCCTGTTTCGATCTTAAATAACGACACATTTAACGACGCAGTTATATTTACGCGATATAACCCAAAACAACAACCTCTATTATGGATAAAATCTGTCGAGAAAGCCCTGCTGCGTGTTCAATGCAAATGTCGTACAGCAGGCAGTGTCAGGGTCGGAATCGACATCGGTATGGGCTCTACCCCTTCCCCCATGATGCAGAGGATGTACCACGGCTGATGACCATCATCATCATCATCATGTGTGTCACTGGTGCACTCATGCCGACCGCGCCGCTACATACGCCACGGATGTAAAGTAAATAAAAACATTATTGAATGGAATCGTTACAGACCTCGTCACCATCACCGTGCAAACCAACCCTTAGCGCATTCGGGAGGATGAAGACCGAGGAGATGGAGCGATGAAATCGATAAATGTGCAGGCGCTGGGTGGATTGTTTACATCGTAAGATCGCGAGAGGTGATGGCGGCGGCAGCGACTTGGGGAGGCCTTCATCCAGCAGTGGATTGACCACGGCCGATGATGCTGATGATGAATGAACAGAGTTGACCTCAAGGTGAGTCGATGCCTCCCCCTACTGCTCCGAGACGGACTCGCATCTGTCCAGAGTTCAGCACTCACGATGCGAGAGGAGTGTACCATCATCACCATCACCACCATCATCACCGCCATCATCACCATCATCACCATTATCACCACCAGCAGCAGCAGCCACGGGCAATCCACTGCTGGATGAAGACATCCCCTAAATCACGGTGGAGGGGGGGGGGCTGGAACTAGTGGGGATGGGGGGTAGAAGGATGATGGCGATGAGAGGTGTTGTATCGCAATCGTGCGCAATGGCCACGCATTGAAAATAAACTCGCGATGATCAACCTGGCTTTTCCTTTGCATGTACGTATGTATGTTGAATTTCTTTCGCACCGTACGTGGTGGTGGTGGCGGGGTGGTAGGGGGTGGTGGTGGGGGGGTGTGGTGGGGGGTGCTTGGGCAGGAGGCGTCGTGGCTAGAAAGAGCGACGGTGGCCGCGTGGTGGAGACTAACGAGGTGGAGACTGACGAGTGGTGGAGATTGACGAGTGGTGGAGACTAACGAGGCAGCGGCAGCTTCAGGGCTGGAAGGCGCCTGACGGGGCGCCCCATCGCGCGGAGATGGGAGCCAGGAGATCGTCAGGCGCGTGGAGAGGGGCTGGGATAATAAACTCCACTACTTTATTTATGTTTAACAAAACATTCCAGGGAAGGCCCACTGAGATGTACATCTCTTTTTTTTAGAATCCACTTGGCTATCACAAATGATAGCTCAACCAAGTGGCTTGTCATCCTCTTCTTCGTACGGACATTGATAGCAGCAGCCAAATGCTAATAAACGCGTGATGTCTAAACGTGGAGGGGAAACCGGAGGACCCGGAGCAAAATTCATGCAACCACGGGGAAAGAGAGAGAGAGAGAGACACCGCAAACTCCAAATTTACAGCAGCCTTCACAGTCGGAATTGAAGCCACTACCTCCTGTATACCAGGCGAGGTAGTTGACATCGCCTAGCCACCGTGGCGCATGAAAACGTGACGAGAAATGGCGCAACGCCTCGCTCCCAAGCCGAGAGGAGAAAAACCAAAATAAATAACCCCGCGCCGCAAATTTCTGAGCGGTTCTCAACTCCGTCGCTCGATCGCTGGAGGCGAACGAGCGAGCCGGGACCCCCCCCCAACTTCGTAGGCAGACACCGGTTCACTCCCCCCCACCGCACCCCACACATGGAGCCATCTCCTAGCCACCGTGATGATGATGATGATGAGATAGAGAGACGCAGACTCCAAATATACAGCAGCAGGCATCAGGGTCGGTATCGGACCCACGACCTCCTGTATGCCAGGCGAGGTAGTCAACATCTCCTGGCCACCGTGATGATGATGATGATGAGATAGAGAGACGCAGACTCCAAATATACAGCAGCAGGCGTCAGGGTCGGGATCGAACCCACGACCTCCTGTATGCCAGGCGAGGTAGTCAACATCTCCTGGCCACCGTGGGGGGCATGATGTGTGCCGGGGTCTCAGGCAACATCCCCAGCTCCCGGGTCACGTGCCGTGCCGTGTGAGTAAACCTGTGACACGTGAACTGTCCCCGGCACGGTAACCACGGAGACCAGCGTGACAGGTGACATCATGAATCTCACTTGGATCGCACGTGGGTTCAATAAAGAACATTGAGATGAATCGAGACGGACAGGGCTGCAGCAGCTGGGCGAATAAGCGGGGGTGAGCATCTAGTGTGGTGTGTCAGGGTGTGGTGTGTCAGGGTGTGTCAGGGTGTGTCAGGGTGTGGTGTGTCAGGGTGTGGTGTGTCAGGGTGTGGTGTGTCAGGGTGTGTCAGGGGGTGGTGTGTCAGGGTGTGTCAGGGTGTGGTGTGTCAGGGTGAGGTGTGTCAGGGTGTGGTGTGTCAGGGTGTGGTGTGTCAGGGTGTGTCAGGGTGTGGTGTGTCAGGGTGTGTCAGGGTGTGTCAGGGTGTGGTGTGTCAGGGTGTGGTGTGTCAGGGTGTGGTGTGTCAGGGTGTGTCAGGGGGTGGTGTGTCAGGGTGTGTCAGGGTGTGGTGTGTCAGGGTGAGGTGTGTCAGGGTGTGGTGTGTCAGGGTGTGGTGTGTCAGGGTGTGTCAGGGTGTGGTGTGTCAGGGTGTGGTGTGTCAGGGTGTGTCAGGGTGTGATGTGTCAGGGTGTGTCAGGGTGTGTCAGGGTGTGGTGTGTCAGGGTGTGTCAGGGTGTGTCAGGGTGTGGTGTGTCAGGGTGTGTCAGGGTGTGGTGTGTCAGGGTGTGTCAGGGTGTGTCAGGGTGTGATGTGTCAGGGTGTGTCAGGGTGTGTCAGGGTGTGGTGTGTCAGGGTGTGTCAGGGTGTGTCAGGGTGTGATGTGTCAGGGTGTGTCAGGGTGTGTCAGGGTGTGGTGTGTCAGGGTGTGTCAGGGTGTGGTGTGTCAGGGTGTGTCAGGGTGTGTCAGGGTGTGTCAGGGTGTGGTGTGTCAGGGTGTGTCAGGGTGTGGTGTGTCCGGGTGTGTCAGGGTGCTCACGCGCTGCAGTAAGGCTTCTTGTCGTAGCCCTTGTAGTTTTTCATTTGCAGCGTCATCTTGCAGACCTCGCAGTGGAAACACGCTTTGTGCCACACCTGTCGAGACACGCACACCCCATCACACTCAACCACACCCCATCCCACTCAACCACACCCAACACCACCACGCACACTTAACCATACCCCACACTCAACCACACCCCACACCACCACCACGCACACTCACCCACAACACACTCACCCACAACACACTCAACCACACCCCATCACACTCAACCAGACCCACACCACGCACACTCACCCACACCCCACCCACGCGACCTAACCCCACAAACATCCATCATGAATCAGACCCGCCGGCTTTGTGGCGCGGTGCTTTAGACACTGCGCGTCTGGGGGAGTCGATACATCGTTGGTGTGACATCCCAACAACAAGCCCCCCCCCCCCCCGGTGTGACATCCCAACAACAAGCCCCCCCCCCCGGTGTGACATCCCAACAGCAAGCCCCCCCCCCGGTGTGACATCCCAACAGCAAGCCCCCCCCCCCCCCCCCGGTGTGACATCCCAACAGCAAGCCCCCCCCCCCCCCCGGTGTGACATCCCAACAGCAAGGGACCCCCCCCCCGGTGTGACATCCCAACAGCAAGCCCCCCCCCCCGGTGTGACATCCCAACAGCAAGGGACCCCCCCCCCCCCTCAGCAAATAGTCCCGAGTTTCGGTGAGGCCTCTAAGGCGATTGTAGGAGCAGGGCAGTACAAATGAATGTTCTTTCTCCAGAGTTAATCAGGCGTAATTAAGGATGATGGCCGCGGTCGCGGGGTGTCCACGTGGAGCCGCCACGCGCCGAGTGCGCGTTCGTGTTGTCTGTGTCCGTGGTGAGAGAGCGGTGTGTGATTGTGTACCACATCATGTGTGATTGTGTACCACATCGCGTGTGATTGTGTACCACATCATGTGTGATTGTGTACCACATCATGTGTGATTGTGTACCACATCGCGTGTGATTGTGTACCACATCATGTGTGATTGTGTACCACATCGCGTGTGATTGTGTACCACACCGTGTGTGATTGTGTACCACACCGTGTGTGATTGTGTACCACACCGTGTGTGATTGTGTACCACATCGTGTGATTGTGTACCACACCGTGCGTGTAGGCAGCTACCTCGCCACGAACACGGCCACCCGAGTTCCATTCCCGCTCGCGACCAATAGCTGGCGAATATTTGAACGGGCACCTGGGCCTCCCCTAGGTAGACTCAGCCTGAAATTAGTACTGTACCTGGCGTGGTGTGTAAACATCAGCAGTGGGGAGACAAAGGCGCCTGGGCGCGATGCTGACAACACACCTCGTGCGCCGTGCCGGCCTTAATAGGTGCTCGCTAACAGCACTTGACCCAACAGTCTGTTAAAGGCTATGCGGGGGATCTTTGTCCTTGTCACATTACTGTCATTGGAACAGGTTAACAAATCGTTGTTAATGGTGGAAATTCCACATTCTTCTACCAGGGAACGGTGGTTCATGTGTAGCTCATTTGGGAGCCGGGCTCCTCATCTTGAACCTGTCATCTCTGCCTGGGGTCGACTGAGGAGTCAGCCACATCGCCACTAACCTCCTTAAACCTCCTAAACCACCACAAACTACCGCCTCCACCACAGCCACCACAGCCACCACAGCCATCATCATCTCCAGCATCATCATCATCGTCACCACCACGACCACCACCACAATCACCGCAAACTTTATCAAAGACAACAATCTCCCGTACAGCCTGTAACAGACTGTAAGGGCAAGTGGTGTTAGCGAGCACCTGTGAAGGCCGGCACAGCACACCAGAGGGTGGGTGGCCAACACCACGCCCGGCCGTCTTTGTCTCCCTAGCTGCAAATGTTTACAAATCGCAACAGGCACTCGTTTTGAGGCTGAGTCGACCTAGGGGAGACCCAGGACCGGTTCAGATGATCGTCACTGATGTTGGCCGTGAGCGGGAATCGAACCCGGGTGACCAGGTCCGTAATGCAGCGCGCTGACCGCTACACCACCGCTCCCCACCATCATCTCCACCACCATCACCACCAACAACAACAACGCCCGCCTGTTGCCACTGACTGACGGTGACTTGACCTCGGTGCACTCTGGGCCGCGTGTAAGTGCTGAAAGTTCGGCTAAAAGGGAATGGGGTCAATACCCAGGTGTTGTGGGCCAACTGACCGAGATGACTCATGATTCACACGCACACGTAGAGACGCACAAAGAAAAACACACTCACCAAAGACAAAGATCACCCGTATAGCCTGACAGACTGTGGATTCAAGTGCTGTGAGCGAGCGCCTATACAGGCCGTATAGTGTTAGTAATGATAGTGTTCTATCTGACCCGTATGCTACCGATGATTAGTGAATCATTTACTATACAGTACTGTACTTTATTAAACATTCATGTACATTGATATACATTTTATATGCATTCTTAAAAAAATGTTACCGTAGTATTTAGTTGTTTGTAGTGTATAGTAGTGTATAGTAGTATATAGTAGTGTATAGTAGTGTATAGTATAGAGTAGTGTATAGTTGAGTGTATAGTGTAGTGTATAGTAGTGTATAGTGTAGTGTATAGTAGTATATAGTGTAGTGTATAGTAGTGTATAGTGTAGTGTAGTATATAATAGTGTATAGAAACATTGTATATAGACATTTGTATAGCCGAACCCCAACTTTCGCGAATTCGCGCTTATGCAGGCGCACACGGAACCTAACCCCGCCACGTACTCTGAGACTTGACTGTATTTTTTATTAAAAAAAATAGTTTTTATTTTACCTGCCCAAGGTTTGTATGCAGTCGGAAACCATGCCAGTGTCACTACAGTGTCCGTGTGCTGCACATAATGAACGTTGACTGGCAATTACATTCTAAAGCTTACATGCATGCGGGCGGTGTAGTCACATGCCTCTTGCATCCTACAATCGCTTCTATTTTATTATCAACACATCGCTCTGCTGTCTCGTATTTCGCCCGAATGCATCTCTGTTCTATCCCTTACGAGTAGATCTTCATCCTTACATCGCTGGTTCCTATCCCCACGTCTCAATCCCACGTCTCGCGCATCTCACAACAAACCTGTGTCTTGGCACCTTCCATCTCGCCGCACCGCTATCTCTTGCCCGACACATTCCTCCTTTCACCCCACCGTATATCGAGGCGGCATATTCGTCATCCAGCAGTGGAGTGACAACAGGCCTGTCCGCATCTCTCCTATCTCACTGCAGCATCTCTAACCGCCGTCTGCAATCTCTTCCGTCATATCCATGTGTCTGCACACTCCCACTGGCATCTCACGAGGATTGTATAACTTGACAATATTCAGCCGTGCCTTCTGTTCAAATGTGCCTATTAATTCCATTGGGATGTGTTGTTTTATACTTGTGCGAGGCGTGATGTTCACTAATAAAGCATGATCATGATCATCATCATCTCACACTTGTGGTTAGCGAAGCCCCGCATGATGTCCTTTCATATTTCTGCACACGTGGCAAGGCCCGTCCACACCACGTGCTCCCCCTCTCCTCCAACGCTTTCAAACTAAACTACATCTGACATCGTGACGTCGAAGGCCCCCCCCCGCCCCTCAAAGCGTGGGGCCCGGGACGGTCGTCCAGATTCCCCGTACCCCTAGGGACGGCTCAGCGATGATGCGCATCCCCGTGCCGCGTGACCTCAGCGCTGTTTCCCTGCCACGCGTCTGCTACTCGGTATCCGCGATGTTCTCGATTAATTTACCGCGACTTTGTTTTTTTCTCACCAAAGTCCACCACGGGACACGCTCGTGAAACTGCTTACGGATGATTGCTTCTCACCCGCGTGAACGAATAATAACAATAATACCGACGACGACGATCATAACGAGGGTGATAATGGAACCTCCAGAATGTGAATTCTACTTCGGGCCACTCTGGTCTCGCAGTGACAACGTTCACCCACCGAACTCGCCACATTTGGGGAGTCTAACTGTGGGGGGGGGGGGGGGGGGGGGTTGGGGGGCAGCATGTCGTCGGTACGGGTAAGGAACGACGTGCCACAGCTTGCGTCCCGAGCAGCCTTTGTTGAGATCTCTCGCTCCCGAATGCCCTAAATCTCTTTTAATCGCAAACAGCGGCCGCCGACAGAGCAGCCTCGCCTGGAAACACGGGTCGCGTGGTGCAATCAAAGACAAAGCTCCCCCGTGTAGCCCACACGAAGCTGTTTGCGATTAGCACCTGTCGAGGCCGGCACGGCATACGAGAGGAGGTGGCGTGGGTAATAACACAACAAAAACGATGCCCGGCCGCCTTTGTCTTCCCACTGGTGATGTTGACATGCCGCACTAAGGTATCTGTTGAGAGCGAAATCGATGTCGGGATGGCCCTGGGGACCGGTTCAGATATTCGGAACCGATGTTGGCCGTGAACGACAATCGATTAATCGGTGATCATTCGCCACTGCTGTTGTTGGGCCGTGAGCTGGCATCGAACTCGCGTAGCGCAATCAAAGACAAAAGTCCCCCGTGCAGCCTTAACAAATGGTCGGGGCAAGTGGTGTTAGCGAGCGCTTATGAAGGGCGGGACGGCACGCATGGTGGTGGGTGGCCCGCACCACGCCCGACCGCCTTTGTCTCCCCAGTGGCGATATTTACACACCGCACCAGGAGGCCCGGGACCGGTTCAGATAATCGTCACCGATGTTGGCCGCGAGCGGGAATCGAACTCGGGTCGCCCGGTTCGTGGCGCAGCGCGCTAACCGCTACACGACTGGCGCAATCACACACGCACACGCAGCAGTAGCAGCGACACACACACATGCAGCAGCAGCAGCGACACACACACACACGCAGCAATAGCGACACACACGCACGCACGCAGCAGCAGCAACACACGCAGCAGCAGTAGCGACAGACACACGCACACACACACACGCACGCAGCAGCAGCAACACACGCAGCAGCAGTAGCGACAGACACACGCACACACACACACGCACGCAGCAGCAGCAACACACGCAGCAGCAGCAACACACGCAGCAGCAGTAGCGACAGACACACGCACACACACACACGCAGCAGCAGCAACACACGCAGCAGCAGCAGCGACACACACACACAGCAGCAGCGACACACACACACACGCAGCAGCGACACACACACACGCAGCAGCAGCAGCGACACACGCAGCAGCAGCAGCGACACACGCACGCAGCAGCAGCGACACACACACACGCAGCAGCAGCGACACACGCAGCAGCAGCAGCGACACACGCACGCAGCAGCAGCGACACACGCAGCAGCAGCGAAACACACACGCAGCAGTAGCAGCGACACACACACACGCAGCAGCAGCGACACACGCAGCAGCAGCGACACACACACGCAGCAGCAGCGAAACACACACGCAGCAGTAGCAGCTACACACGCAGCAGCAGCAGCAGCGACACACGCGCGCACACACACACGCAGCAGCAACACACACACACGCCAACACACGCGCCGTTACCATGCACACCTCGCACAGATCGCCTGTGTGTCCGTGTGTGCACGCGTCGTGGGGAGCGGTGGTGTGATGGTTAGCACGCTGCGCTGTGAACCCAGCTACCCAAGTTGAATTGTTCGTTCACGGTCAACACCAGCGACGATGATCTTCTTGCACCAGTCCCGGGCCTCCCCTCGGTAGACTACAGCATCTGGTGCGCTGCGTGAACTTCAATCAGTCGAGAGACAAAGGCGGTCGGGCGTGGTGCTTGGCCAACCATCCCCTCGCCTACCGTTCCGGCCTTTATTGTGAACAGCGCTTACCCCAAATAGCCTGCTCAGGCTGTTCAGGCTTAAAACCGAGGAGAGCTTTGTCTTTGTGCGCGCGCGTGTGTGCGTGTTGTCTGCATCATCAATTCACGCACTGCGTTGCGAAGTCACACACAACCCCGAGTTCGACTCCCGGGCCACGGGAAAACCTTAAATCACAAATGACATCTGCCCACATCCTGGGGCTCCCCCGAAGGTTGACTCAGCCTGAAATGAGTGTCTCGCGCGGCGTGTGCGCACGAGCGCTGTGCCGTCGGGAGCGGCCGGGCGTGGTGCTGGCCACACCACCACGCCTCGTTGCACCGTAGCGGCCACAACAGAGGCTCGCTAACAATTTCTTTTGCCCAAATACTGTAGGCCATGTGGAGGGGGGGGGGGGTCTTTGTCTAGACGACTGCTCACAATCGGCCGTCTGCGTGTATTCGATACGACACGTGTGACGTATGTGTCGTGTATTTTTTCTGTTCGCTGGCTGCGTTTTGTGTGTTGTATATACTGCGCGATGGTGCTCTGAGCTGTCGTATGCTGTGTGTGTGTTGAGTATGTGTGTATGTTGAGTACGTGCTCTGCTGTGTCTTCCTGTGCCGTATGCTGTGCATGCGCCTGTGTGTGTGTGCGATGACTCCAGCGCTGTGTTTGTGTGCAGTGTGGGGTGCGTTGCACATGCTGTGCTGCGTGGGGTGTATGCTATGCTGCAACGTTCAGTGTCATTTGTTGCGTGTGCTGTCGTTTGCTGTGTGTATACGTTACCCTGTGGCATGCGTGATTTGTGTTGTGTGTGTCCTGTGCCTTGTCCTGTGTCCTGTATGCTATGTTTGCTCTGTGTGCCGTGCCTCATTCGTGTGCTGTGTCGTGTGATGTGTACGCTATCATGTCTGTGTGGTGTATAAACTCTGACATATTTGCGTGCTGTGTGTATGCTATGCTGTGTGATGTATGCTATTCCATGTTCTGCGTGCGCTCTGCTGGTATGCCGTTTATGTGATGTTACGGTGTGCTATGCTTTATGCTATTCCGTGTAACGTGCGTGTTGTGATTCGTATGCCGTGCTATGCTTGAGGCTATCGTGTTACTTTGTATGCTGTCCTCTGTATGATTGTATTTGTATGCTGCGTGCTGTTACGTGTTTCTGTTTGTGTACCGTTATTGGCTGCGCTGCTGTGTGCTGTACATTATTCATGTCCTGTGCGTACTCTGTGTATGCTATACTGTGCTATGCTTTACGCTATTCCGTTTTATGTGTACATTGTGTATGTTGTGCTATGATATTGCGTGTGCTGTGCATGGAATTCTGGGCTGTGTGATGTAATATATGGCGTGCAAGTTCGTGTGTTGTATATGCTATGTGTACTGTGGTGCGAGATATGCTGTGTTGTGTATGCTACGCTATGATCTTCCGTGTGCGGTATATGCTGTATCATGTGCAATTCCACGTGTAGTTGATGCTTTTGTATGCTGTACTCAGTGATAGTTCGCGTGTTGTATATACTCTGTGTGCTGTGCCACGTGCTAGTCCACGTGCTGTGTCACGTGCTAGTCCACGTGCTGTGTCTGCTCTGCTACGTGCGAGTCCGTGGGCACGGGATGTCGGGAGCTGTCCAGCCGCGCGTGGTTCTGAAATCCGAGCGTGTCTCCCCCCCCCCCCCCCCCCCAAAGGCGTCAGGCAGCGGCTCTGTTGAGTCGCTCAGAATCTCTAACGCGGATTAAGCCCTCTCGAGGCTCCGTGGTTAGGAGCTGTAACACCCCCACCTCCCACCCCCCCCCCCCCAAAATAAAAATCACGTATATCGGCGTCTCTCTCCCTCCACACCATCCACCCTTTCTCTCTCTCTCTCCACACACGTATTGCTTACACACACACACTGTATACGGTATCCCCGCGTAAAACAATCATCGCAAAAGGCGCGTGCGTGGGCGCCGAGGAGTACGGGAGGCGCCTACCTTGTCCAGGCAGCTCACTTTCTCCGTCGGGTACACGATCTTGTCGCATCTCGCGCACGGGGGGTTCATGACGGCGGGAAGAGCTTCACAACCGCGGCGGTGACGGTGGATGTCGGCAGCTCGGCGCTTGTGCGCGCTCTCTCTCTCTCCGTGTCTGTGGCTCGCTACCCCCCCCCTCTCCTATTCTGTGTGCTGCTCGCTCTCTCGTTCGCTCTCTCTCCCTCTCGCTCCCACTCTGTGTGTGTCTGCTACTCGCTCTCTCGTTCGCTCTCTCCCCACCTCTCTCTCACTCTGTGTGTGTCTGCTACTCGCTCTCTCGTTCGCTCTCTCTCCCTCTCGCTCTCACTCTGTGTGTGTGTGCTGCTCGCTCTCTCGCTCTCTCGTTCGCTCTCTCCCCCTCTCGGCCGGATTTTTTTTGCTGGACTCTCCCAGCATTCAGCGCGCAATGCACCAGCGGTCTGAGATATTGGCTGAAGGGAGGGAGGGGGAGGGCGGGCTTGGGTGGGGGTGTGTTGGGGGGTGATGGATAGGAAAGGGTTGGGTGAGAGAGGATTTGTGGTGGGGGTGGAATAGGAGGGAGGTGCGGGTGGAATGGGGGGGAGGAAGGAGGATTTAGTTGGGGGTGGAGGTGGGAATGGGTGGAGGTGGGGAGGAGGGAGATGAAGGAGGCTTGCGCTGAGTCGCGATGAGGAGGGATGATGACGATGGGGAGTGAAGAGAGCTATTGAGGAGGATGACGAGGGACGTTCGGGGGGGGGACGGACGGTGGAGGTTAGCAAAAGAAGGGGGCGCCTGTGTGAGGGGAGGTGTCACGAGGGAGCAGGGAGAGGGTGACGTGAAAAGGAGGGAATACGACGGTGAAGGGAGGGAGTAACGGGGAAGAGGTAGGGGAGATGTTGAGTGAGCGATGACGGGGAGGGAATGGAGAGTAGGAGGGAGGATTGAGGAGGAGGAGGGAGGAGGAGCAGGGAGGACGGGGGGTGGTACGGGGGGAGGGGGGCAGATACGTGTCGGGAACGGGCGGCGAGACGGCGTGCATTGTGAATGCGCGCACACACACGCACGCGCGCGCACACACGCACGCGCGCGCACACACGCACGCACGCGCACACACGCACGCGGCCTCACAAAAACACTGTACTATGTCCGTGCACGGGAGCACGTGGAGGAGATCCGTGCGGGGACAGCACGCACACACACGCACACAGTGTGACCGTGTGCGTTGCAGCCCCTTGATCTCCGCTGCTGGATTTAATGCCTCCCCCCACGCCATGTCGGTACTGGGTACAGTTTGACCATACTTCACCACGCCTGTACAATCCGGTTTGGTGAAGGCGATGCGCAGGACTAGTTCAGGCACCACTCGCCAATGACGTGTTTAGTTCCTTGTCCTTACCCCGCACCTCCGATTAGCACGGTTGGTTACGTACGGTGTGAAAGTTCAACATACATGCACGTTCGCCGCGCCCAGGAAGCGAACTCCGATCGCGGGGTCGATAGCGCAGTACGCTAATCACAGCCCCACCGCTCCCCAGCCCTTGGCAATTACACATAATTTGATCGTGGTTACCGATCAATTATTGAATCATGTTCTCAAGAGAGGACACTCAGTGGCAAACCTTGGATTGCACTGCATAACAATCCGTTATGCATTATGCATCGAGAAGTTTCATGTTAATATCTCCATGAAAGCACACGCAAAGACACAGATCCCCCGTATAGGCCAAACGGATTTTTGGGGCAAGTGCCGTTAGCGAGCGCCTTTGACGGCCAGCGCGGCACGCGAGGGCGTGGGTGGCCAGCAGCATGCCGTAATAATTATACGTTAATTAATAGAGCTTCTAGAATATAACAACAATTATATGTTTAGCGAAATTAAATTCAATGCAGCCAATGAGACGGAACAAACTAGGCAGAAAATGCAAGAGATACGATACACACGACACAAAAATAATGCAATCATGAATCGAATTGTAATTTTTTTGTGTGCAGGGGCAATGAGGTGGTGAATGTGGGGGCTGGGAGGAGAGGGGACATTTAAATGTCCAATGCTCAGCTCCAATTGACACACGTGTCAGCTGAAACGGGGAGACGAAACGTGGGTGTTGTATTCACTTTGGCATTGGCAAGTGGGGCAGTTGAGAGGCGGCTAGGATATGTCAACTCCCTCGCCTGGTATGCAGGAGGTCGTGGGTTCGATCCCGACCCTGACGCCTTTTGGATATTTGGAGTTTACATGTTCTCCCCGTGGTCGCGTGGACTTTTCTCCGGGTCTAACGGGTTTTTCCTTCCACATTTAGAATCAACATCACGCGTTTAACTGCTATTAGAAAAAAAAAATCCACGTGATAAGCCACTTCGTAGAGCAATCATTTGTGGCCAGGTCGCTTCTGAAAAATAGCTATATAGCTCAGTGGGCCTGATAAAATAAAAAATAGTTTAGTTGATTTCGCCAAGAAGCTCAATTTTCGCGGGCCAGGTTGCAACCATTACTCGGGTTCGACTCCCTACTGTTTTAGATTTGAAGCTTTCGTGACTGCAAGGATTCATACTCTTAGGTTTTTTTCGGTAAAGTCACGTAGGTAAAAATAATGATAATAAATGAAAATAACTCAATTAAATCACGACGTTTCGGAGGCAACACAAGTCTCCGAAACGTCGTGATTTAATTGAGTTATTTTCATTTATTATCAATTTATTTAATTATTATTTTTTACCTACGTGACTTTACCGAAACAATCTAAGAGTGTCTCTGCTGTTATTTTTTTATATTTGAGAATCTGTGGCGATCGATCTCAACAGCCAGCCATAGAGTGCCCCTGTTATGGGCGGTCTTTCGGACCTTGACCACTTCAATGTGAAATTGCAGTTCTTGCTCTGCATCGACATTAGCCATAAAAAATAAGAAGATGCGTGATCTTTATTATAAAAAGTGTGATAATAACAAAGAAACGAAAAAAATCTGATTTTTTTATATAACCCTACAAGTACATTCCGTGTAATTAAATGTCATGTCAAGAAAATAAAATTTCCTGTGGAGGGAACGTTTGGCTCGGGCCCAGCGGTTCGTAACTTGGGGCGCAGGCACCCCCTGGGTGTGCGAGATGCCCTTTCTGGGGGTAGCCAGACATGGGCAATTTTTTTTTAAAGGTAAATCATCGAAACGCAAATTAAGGCACGGACACGTAAGTACAAGTACTTTATTTCATAAAACCATAATTACATTTAACATCTTCTTGGTTATTTCGGTAAAGTCACGTAGAATGGAAACAATAAAATCTTAAAAGTAAACATAATAAAATCATTCTCAAGACGTTTCGGCCACAAGAACCAAGAAGATGAATCCCTGCAGTCACGAAAGCTTTAAATCGAAACATTTAACATTTTTTTACGATTGAGAACCGAAGGGGTGCAAGGCTGCAGTAAAAGGTTAAGAACCACTTGCCCGCTCGGCCATGTCGCTCAAAGGGACGATGACCGCTCGTCAAGGCTGACGGCGGAGTGGCGGTCAACGGAGTCCACGCGACGCAGAGGATGTCCGCCGCCGAGATGGGGGACGATGACGGGGACGAGCGACAGAGGGATCGTCGCTTGTCGCAGATTCGCGGTTTCTAAACAGCGGCCGCCATCATTAATACCGGCGGGTGCATTAACCATAATAATCATACCCGCCGTTTGCTTCGCAGTGGACGTTAAAGATCCCGTGACGTAGTTCGCAAGAGCATTGCCATTGCGTGGCGGCGTCATGGTCGAAAATTTTACAATTTTTTAAAATTACGCCGGAAATTTTTACTATTTCAATCATCGGCCCCCGACTGGGAAAACTTGATCGGACCCTCCTGGATAGAGTCACGAGAGGTCGGTAACAAAGGTGAAGCGACGGTGACATCAGCCCGTGTGCGGGTGGCGAGATGGAGTGTTGCATCACTGGACCGCATTTTTCTTTCGTATGGCTGCTGATGTAGATGCAGAGCAACAATTACAACTTCACATTCAGGTGGCCAGGCCCAGATCAGCTGGACCGTGAGAGTTGACAATGGCTCGGAGAGGTCTTCATTCAGCGGTGATTTGATCGCGGCAGATTATGATGAAATTGAGAGACGTCTTCTGGAAGATCTTTCTAAGCAGATGGTGGTGGTCTTCTGTCCTCTGGGTGGTGTGGACATGCGTTGCTATGGAGAACCACCTCCCAGGGTGGTACGGGCATGCGTTGCTATGGAGAACCACCTCCCAGGGTGGTACGGGCATGCATGAACTTGAACTTGAATTGCCTGTGTCGGGTGGAGGAGGGCCTACCACACACATTTTGCTCACGCGATGCCTTCTAATAATTGTCTAACGCGATGTTTGAACGTTTGTTATCGATAAACGATTTGCAATCCTCTGTGGTCGTGTTGTGGCCAGGTCGCTTCTGATAAAGAAGTGAAAAGCCCATTGGGGCCTTCCCTTTAAAACAACATACAATTGTTGAGTTTTATTTGTTTATTTACTTGAAGCGATTTGTTCACCTTTCCTATACCTTACACCGTTTGTTGTTTTAACATTCTAACAAACAAAAAAGAGCTGATTTAAAGCTTTCGTGACTGCAGGGATTCATATTTTGGTTATTTCGGTAAAGTCACGTAGAAGGGAAATAATAAAATAATAAAAATATTAAACAATAAAAATTCTCACGACGTTTCTTTTCCAAAATTTTCTTGCTGTGGATTTCACACCTGATGATTGCTTGTGTTGCAGTCGAAACGTCGTGATAATTTTATTGTTTTAGATTTTTTATTATTTCCCTTCTACGTGACTTCACCGAAAGAACCAAGAATATAAACAAAAAGAGCTTCACGGCTCTTCGGATTCTGCTCGCACGTCACGATGGCGTCACCGAATCGGGCGTGCGCGGTGACGTCACCACGCCTCCCGCGACGCGGTTGCGTCATCGCGTACGCCCCGCCCTCCCGGGCCCCGCCTCCCGCCACCGCCTTCGTCCTCCCACAATCCCGCGCGGCTCCCTCTTTTCCGGGCCGCCAACATGTCGAAGAGAGGTGCGTGACGCCGGCTCCCGCTCGCGGTCGTTGCAATCCGTCGCCATCCTCGCTCCCCCTCGCCTCTGCCCCGTTTTGCCGCCGCGAGGCTCCCTCGATACCAGTGCCCGCCTGCAACGGCGCGGCGAAGGGAGTTGCGGCTGCGGCGGCAGATGATGATTACGGGCGATGGTTTGGCGGTCGATTGCGAGCGGTGGATTTTCGTGGCGGCCATCGCGCTGCCGCGATGTTGAATTTAGATTCATTGTGAACTGAATGCTCGTCCGTTTGTGTAGCTTTTACGTAAGTAACTTCACGTGTGCGTGCGTGTGTTGAGAGTGAGTACGTGTTTGTATAGTTAGACTGGGCATAGACGCGTCTGTGCTCTAGGCCTGAAGCCTGAGTTGAACGATTACAGGTAATCGTGACTTGGGGTATAAATGCCGCGTTGGCTACATGCTGACTGCATGTTGCGCAGGCCACGTTCATGTGATCAACCGCACCTATGAACCTGCGCGTACTTTAGGGGGGGCTGCGTATGGGCATCGCGGTAACTGGGAAGACAAAGGCGGGCGGGAGGGGATGAGCGACGTGCTTCCCGAGCTGCTTATACCTCTTAAACGCAAACACGCGGCTCCCTCTGAGCGCGTGTGGCGGTCACGATTCACCCCACCACGAACGAACACGCGGGGCCGGCGGTAGCCTCGAGTGCGGCGTTCTTTGTGATTGGCAGTGGTGGTTCATACGCGTTCATAAATTTGTTTTAAAATCCCCACACGCATTGGTGTCGTATGGGTTCATAATTGCGGATTAAAGGTGTAATTTTAGATGTGTCATCCACGCGGTTCAGACGCAAAGTGGATCTTGTCCACCCTGAGGAGTTGAAGTAGAAGCGGAGTGTTGACGGTCGATGGTTTCGGATTCGTGGCCGCAATCTCAGGCCACGAATCTGTAACGCCGCCATGAAAAGAGGAGAAACGGTAGTCGCCGTTTCGGGCAATGGCCCTTAATCATGTCATCATGCGAGAGGGGGGGAGGAAGAGGAGTGTTTGTGGTGCCGGCTGACGTCGAGTTCTCTTGGCAGGACGTGGCGGGTCGTCCGGTGCGAAGTTTCGCATCTCGCTGGGTCTGCCCGTCGGCGCCGTCATCAACTGCGCGGACAACACTGGTGCGTGGGCCCTGTGTGGGTTCGTGTGGGCCTTGTGTGTGTGTGGGCCGTGTGCGTGCGTGGGCCTTGTGTGTGTGTGCGTGGGCCTTGTGTGTGTGCGTGGGCCTTGTGTGTGCGTGGGCCTTGTGTGTGTGTGTGGGCCCTGTATGGGCCTTGTGTGCGTGCGTGGGCCTTGTGTGTGTGCGTGTGGGCCTTGTGTGTGTGCGTGGGACTTGTGTGTGTGTGTGTGTGCGTGGGACTTGTGTGTGTGTGCGTGGGCCTTGTGTGTGTATGTGCATGGGCCCTGTGTGGGTTCGTGTGGGCCTTGTGTGTGTGTGTGGGCCTTGTGTGTGTGTGCGTGGGCCTTGTGTGGGATCGTGTGGGCCCTCTATGGGTCCATGTGTTGGATGCGTGGGCTCTGTGGGTGCTGTTATGTATGTTAAAGCTCTATAGCCAGCCGTGCTAATTGGAGGTGGACGAAACCATGCGTGGACCCCCCCAACTTAATTTTTAAAAAATTAGGCCATCAACACAATGGCTTCTGTGCAGCATCGCTCGTTGACTTGATGAATGGGAAAGAAGTGGGGATGGAATCTATGCAAAGGTAAGAACATAACAGCTATCGGTACCAAACCTTGAAGCCGTTATCGCCCGCGAGAGACGTTCCTTCCCAAAAAGCACCCGCCCCGTAGTCCACGCGACCCTGATGGGGTGGGTCGTCACGGGAAGGAGAGCAAACTCGGCATTGCTAATGGGTGAGGGGGCAGCACTCGCTGTTGCAGCACCTCTCAATCAGTAGTGCTACAGTAAGAACCACGAATAAACTGGCTTTAGAGCTGCTATATATTTATCAAGTCACCACGGTGGGGAAATGTGGCCCATTTGTTTGATGGCTTGCAAAAAAATGTTGCCTTTTTGAGAATTCAATAATGTTGGTGACCGTGAAGTTGGCGTCGTGTTTTTGACGGCGTTCGGTTTGTGTGTGCCGCGTGTTTCACAGGCGGTAAGAACCTGTACATCATCTCGGTGAAGGGCATCAAGGGTCGTCTGAACCGTCTGCCAGCTGCCGGTGTGGGCGACATGGTGATGGCCACCGTGAAGAAGGGCAAGCCCGAACTCCGGAAAAAGGGTCAGTTGCCCTCGCGTCAGGATGGGGCCAAACTACATTTGGGATTTGGTGCCATTGTTCATAGCACAAAAGGCCACCACGGAGAGTGCTTTGCTCGTGAACTCCCAGTGAGTGAGGAGGTTTGACTTCATGAAGGTCTTGCTGGATGGAATAGAGGACGTGAATGTAGCTGAGTGTAGAAGATCTTGGAATTAGAAGAGAAGAGGCATATTATGGCAGTTTACCCAAAGGAGCAAAATCTTGTTAAAATAACAGATGTGTAAATCTAACAACTAGATAAAGGAGCGAAAATCATGAGATGTGAACAGTGAGTTGTTCCTTTCCAAAAAGCACCCGCCCCATAGTCCACACGGACCCTGATGGGGTGGGTCGTCACGGGAAGGAGAGCAAACTCGGCATTGCTAATGGGTGAGGGGGCAGCAATCGCTGTTGCAGCACCTCTCAATCAGTAGTGCTACATTCTAAGTCGTTCTCACACTGCGCTTTGTGATTGGTGAGCGTGTCCAATTTGTCATCGAAAAGACTTGTATTTGATTTATGGCTTTTGTGTACGGCGCTCTGTTACCCCTGGATGAAGCGTGATATATACGTCCAGTTTGTGTATTCCGTATTATTATCAGCTTGTCACAGTTCAGCCTCCCCCCTGGCCCCTCCATCCTAACGATACGGTGGCTTTTCAAGACTCGGGGTAGGGATTAACAACTCGATTTTATCTTAGCCTGAAAGCAACGACGTGTAATTTACACATGTATCCTAATTTATTTTCATGATTGATGTCAGTTTTTTTAAATTGCAATGTATTTTAATGTTACATGGCTGTGGGCCAGTTTTCATTTTGTGGTTGCTATGTGTAACGTGTGCTGTTTGATCGGAGATAAATTACAGTTTGAGCTAAAATTGTTATGCTATTTACTAGTCATGCAAAAATATTCAACATTTTATGAAGTATAAATTCCATTTGGCCTTTTCTGATGAAGGGCTTGGAGTGGATGATTTTGCATTGGCCATTAAGGGTCTCCTGAGTTCACGTGCCGTGCGGGTTTACACGTGTCCATTGAAGCAGCATTAGCACATTCACATACACGCTGAATAGCCCAGCATGCATGGCACATCCAAGCCAGCAAGACATGAACAGTCCATTGACTGATTAATCCGTTTGATTCCGGATGACCCAAGCGGGGTTGGTTATTTGACGCTAATGGATTGGTACTTTATAGAAGTCGATATCTGCTGTGGTGGTTGTGAGATGAGAGTAGGGGGAGGAGGGTGGTTTTTATTGGTCTTGATGTAAGGATGTTGATTGTGCTTTTTTAAAGAGGGCCACAAAAGTGCTTGGGGGGGGGGGGGGGTGTGGAGGAGGTGGCATGGGGAGGTGCCGGTCTTGAACTCTGGTGGCTTTGTGTGTTCCGTGCAGTGCATCCTGCGGTGGTGATACGGCAGCGGAAAGCCTTCAGGAGAAAGGACGGGGTGTTTCTCTACTTTGAAGACAACGCAGGGGTCATAGTGAACAACAAGGGCGAGATGAAAGGTGGGTGGTGCCTCTGATGGAAGAATGTTAATAAATACTCTCGCTGATGATTGCTGTGACTTGGTGAGGAAGTTTGACCGAAGGCCTTACTGGATGGAATAGAGGACATGAGGAGAGCTGCATTTGGAGGATCTTGGAATGAGAAGATGTGAAGAGAAGATTGAGGGATATGACAGTTACCTCAAACGGAGCAAAATCTTGTTAAGATCACAACAAGACGTATAAATGTAACAACTTGATATCGGAACAAAAACCACGAGACCGTTGTGAACAGCGAGTTCCTTCCCAAAAAGCACCCGCCCCGTAGTCCACGCGGACCCTGATGGGGTGGGTCGTCACGGGAAGGAGAGCAGACTCGGCATTGCTAATGGGTGAGGGGGCAGCAATCGCTGTTGCAGCACCTCTCAATCAGTAGTGCTACATTCTAAGTGGTTACACAATGTGGACAGCACATCCCGGGACTGTAAAGCCCACAGTGACGTCCGCTGTACATGTTGCAGCAGTGGTGGGATGCGTTGATAGTTAAGTGAGCGTAATAGCGATTGTGTGGACAGCACGTGTCTCTGGGTACCAATTAAGTTATGCAGGTGGTGGGGTTGCGAGTGCCTGGCTGAATATTCTCAGCGGAATTTCTAATTGCGTGTGGGTTTTTGTGAGTAATGTGAAGAGTAGATGGTTAAGCGTGGTTGGTTGTGTAAGTGTGCTGTGGTGAGTGTTCGTTTGTGCAGTGCCTTGATTGCGTGTGCGTCCTGGTAAAGTGAGTAGTTGCTTGGGCGTTGTCGAGTGGCTTGTCATCGTGTGTGATTGCGAGTCGCATTGATGGGGTTTGTGTCGTTTCAGGCTCTGCCATCACGGGCCCCGTGGCTAAGGAGTGCGCGGATCTGTGGCCCAGGATTGCCTCCAATGCTGGCAGCATAGCCTAGCCCTGGCCCACATCACGTTTGTCACAATAAAAACAACCATCCAATTCAATCGAACGTGTTCATGGGCGTATGTGCGCACTTTTGTGTCTCAAAAGGTTGGAAACCTAACACATTGGTTGGGGTTTTGACTTGATGAAATTTGCACACGTATATGTAAAGTACATACAAATGCACCGTTAAAACGTCCTTGCGTTCCAAATGAACGCATGCAAGCTATTCTTGTACACGTGGCAATCGGTTTAGAAGTTTTTATGATTTTGGTGAAAATGTAAAGTATCCTCGGACTTTTTGTACAGCTTACAGGCTCTTAAAGGCAAAAAGGTCATTTAAATATTGATTTACACCAACCAGGTTATATTAATCCAAGCTGCATTCCCATGGGGTGAGTTTTAAGGACTTGACATCTACTGACATGTATTGACTAGACCTGGGAAGAGTTAATGTGAACAAAGGTCTTATTGGTGGTAGCTGCTGCAAGTTTTTTTTCTTCCCCAACGTCGCAAATAAAGTGGGGATTAATGTTTGAGAATGGGCTAAGCGAGCGCTGCGTCATGTAGTTTCTGTACATTTGCAGACCAGTTGCTGGGTGTGTGGCCCATTATGATTGAAACCTTGTTCCGGTCTATTTTAATTCAAAACACTTGCCTGGCTTGTCCCTTGGGCTTGCATGCCATCGACCATGAGGCCCCTTGGTGTGTTATTTGGGCATCATTTCTTTGCAAGGGAATGCTTTTGACTCCTGCGTTGGGCTTGAACCAATGATGAGTTGTGAAATAATCAAGAACCAGTTTGGCACGATATTGCATGTACGTATATTGAACCGTACTAATCGGAGGTGTGGGGAAGGACAGACTCAACGAAACAGTTTCCAATCGAGATGTCTAGTCAATAGCTCCAGTGGCTTCCTAATATCGGGAGGAAGAGTGTTCCAGACGGCCGCAAAAGGGCATCTGAAAGTGCCAGATACAGTAACCGTTTGCTCGATGGCTAGCCACAAGCCACTGCGAGGATGAGTTCTCGTGATTATTCTGCTTCTTGATCGGTGAGGTATTCATTTGTGCCAAGCACTGGGTGATGAGTGCTAGTAATGTATGTGACAACTTGGAAGCCATTGCAGCTCTGCGAACATTGGATGGAAATGGCCGGATCTTTCAGCACCCGTCACGACGCGCGCCACAATTGTGTACGCTAATACAACGAGCGTCGTGCAACATTTCCAGGCTGCCTCCACAAATGTGCATAGCCCCCCATGTCCTAAATGCATAAATTCAGTCGCATTAAGTCTGTACAACCAAACTGGACCGGTGTGATGCTCTTCCAGGAGGCTATGTTGACAGTTAATACAGTCATGCTAAAGATGCTTAGGGTTCAATGTTACTGACGACTTCAGTTTAAGGCTCTTGAATATAAAATGTGTAATTTTAATAACAGGCTCATGGAGTCGAACGAGGGCCTCGATAGTCTCAACATTTAAAGCATTGAGCTCACCTGAGACTTCACGATGTTTAAGTCTCGATATTAGAGAGCCTCTAGGCTGATGTAGATGCAGTGCAACGACTACAATTTCACATTCGGGTGGTCAAGCAAGCCCCAGACAACAGCAGCAGCGGATTACGTTGCTCTGATGTCTCCTTCGTATGTGTGGATCGGGGCATTGCGTCGTCGTTCGGCCTGTTCTGTATGACCACATTCGCACACTACTACCGGGGAGTTTTTAATTCTCCATTAGTTTGTGCGTCGTCACCAGGTATCCGCATCTCCCTGCTGCTGCCACGGTTTGCGCAGCAGTGGATGCGGTTTAGGGTGGACCACGTGCTTTTTGGTAGATGAAGACCAGGCATCTTGAATAACCAAACTGCCTCTCACCCCCCGCGCACCCCTCCATCCACCCACCGTAACAGTTGTATTATAATCAATGCACCCAGCACAATGGGGGAGATTGTGTAGGGAGCGTGCACACAGTGCCGCCCGTGTGGGGAGATTGTGTAGGGAGCGTGCACACAGTGCCGCCCGTGTGGGGCGTGCCGAGTTGAATCGCTTAACCACTTCCATACGCGCGTGCCTTCAAGGTGCACGCCATCTCTGATTCAATCAACAGCCCCACCCACTTTAGTGGCGAGGTTTCTCGCTCAACGTGCGAGCTCAAATTCAATGACGCAACACGATGCATTCGGCGCTGTTTATAGCGCCAATAAATGTGACCGCACGCCTTGTAAGACATTCTACGGAAACGGTGGGAATCGCGGAGGAGGAGGCAGACTGCGAGTCAATAGGATTATAGCAACATTGGATTATATAATGAGTGAGTTATGGTTAGGCATGCCTTGGACTCTCTGGGTTGTGCTTTCAAAATCAGAATATACCGGAGGAATCTGCTGAGCTACAAAGCTTGTTTTTGTTCACAAATGTCCAGTAGTTAATCCGTACTCCATGCCAGACGAGAAGCGTTACATAAAGTATGGAGCGAGAAATGTCGCTCTGGCCGATTGAATTTGAGACCCTTCGCCTTACGGGGCTAAAGGACTCCTGCGTGAGCAAGGAGGGAGAGAGAGGTCTGTGCGTGTGTGAAAGACCTCGTTGTGTTAAAACAAATTCAACCCAAACGCCCCAAGAGGACGCCTTCCCAGCACTGTAGGTGGCCATCGAGTGGAAGGAGTAAGCTGAAATGTTCACATTTGGGAAATTACCCTGGGGGGTTCATCCGGCAGTTGATGCGGAACACTGCGACCCCAGAAGCCCTGCCACTGAAGAATTATCTCTGCCTGTCGACGCTTCTCGAACTCCTGGCCACGCCAGCTGCTTTTCATTTCACGCGATTGTTCCAACGAATGAGCCGAGTCTCGTTCATGTACCGCATTGACTTAACACATTCCTGCGGAGGGAGCTGGTAGGAACGTTGGGTTGCTCGGTCAATGGCCAGGGTCAACAGCGGCGTGGTGTATTCCGCAAATATGCCCGACTGTGAGGGCGGGCACAAGCCGGCGTGAGTAGGTTAAACGTTAAGTTTTATAAGGGCACCACGGGGTGACCAGCCCCACCCAGCCCCTCCCCACCCAGCCCCTCCCCACCCAGCCCCACCTCTCCCATTTTTGGATGCACGACGGACGGACACAATAATCCCTTGTCAGCTGGTGGAACCAGGTGGTTCCTACAAGTATTACTGCCGGCTGACGACAACTTGGAACGCCGATTGGTCAATGTTTTGAGACGCATCTCCAATATCTTGAGGCAAACTACTTCGATTGCTTCTTGTTTACGCAAAATAAAAACAACACATTTGTGCATTAAGCAGTGGTTGGCAGTGGCACGAAAAATAATCTGTGAACACTTGTCAACAGCACTGCATTTACACGATATACAACAAGCCACGTTTCTAGCAATATCCCTTCATACACAAGACTGTGCGAGAGTTGAAATCACGCCGAGTTTAAGTGACAAACTGAATGTTTAATACGTTCGAAGTGTGTGCGGTCGTTCGTTAAGGGGCACAGTACGGGGTACATCTGCCAGTCATCTCGGTAAAGCTGGCACAGTCGGTGGTACAGCTTGTGCATCTGCCAGTCATCTCAAATCAGTGAACCCATCGCATCCGGGATTATCCCGTGACCTGCCAGCGAGCCTCCGACACTTGACGTGGCCTCAGCGTGCACCTAGCCTGGCACAGGCGCTGTGGTGACGTCGCCGTCACTGAGTGGCGACTGGCGGGTCCTGTCGTTGATTCGAGAAGGGGCAGAGAGGCCCATGGACCCCGTCACACTCGAGAACAGTCCGGTTCTAATCACGGGCTGGCTGAGAGAGCTCTGCGAACATGGCCATGGTCAACATGCTCCTGAACAATTAGCCGCCGGGTTGTCTAAAACATATATCAATGTCCCTGGCTTGTTCCGCACCACCGCCGTGTGCCTTCGCCGCGTCAGCTGCTACGGAATGAATTCACGCAACATGCACGCAAAGAACACAATCTGGCCACTTGTGTGTATGTGTGTATATATAGGCTCTCACGACCGATACGATTCATAATCGGTTTCATTTGGGTTAGGTCGTCGTGTAAATAAAATAAAAAAACGGTGTGTCGTAAGCCCTCCTCCACCCGACACAGCCAATTAATAATTACAAGTGTCACGTAAAATCAAGCGTGGCCAGACCCAATGCACTGCTTGACAACATTCACGTAATGTGGGTAACGACGTGTCGCTGGATATCGCATTCAGAATCTTGAGGTTGTTTAAAATGAGCTCAGATCTCGCACCCTCGTGCATGTTGTCAGATTCCTCTCCCAACATCAACACCGCTGCTGCTGCTCAAGCCGTCATATATTTGGCCACGTCTGGTGCACGTGACACTTGCATTATTAATTGCCTCTGTCGGGTTGGAGAGGGTTTACGACAAACCTCTGTACACGATCAAATCCAAAATAAGTCAATTATTAAACAATCTGCCATGTCTTAAGTACAAATTGCGTACATGCGCTATATGTATAGTTACACTATACGCGGACCTCGGTTATGACCAGCATGGCACACACACGTGCGCGCGCGTGTCCGCATGCATGCGTTGTGTGCACGGGGCTACGCGTGGCGACATAAACACGCACACGGACCTCACCTGATTGGAAGCATCTGCACACGCGAATCGCCTTTGGCTAAATCACCAGGAACGCGGTGGAGCGCAACACGCCTGTAGTCGATCGACGCGTTTGGGGAGCGCTCGAATCGTGTGCCGTGATGCGCGTGCTTCCTTTGAGTGACTCCTCGTGTTCGCGCCATCGGAGCCGTCTCCCCGAGGGGCGCACGGCGAAGCGGTGGCGAACGTCGCCCCGGGCCCCGCACTTTGGGGGGGGGGGGGGCGCGCTTTGACGTCACGGTGTCAGATGTTTGTAGGCGTCGGGGGGTGTTGCCTGCAGGAGTTGCACACCCATAATAGAGGGTTTTTTTCAGGTGTTAGATCGCATAAATAATTGGTATTGGTCGCGAAAGCCTGCTGCTGCGTGTTAATAAGCCAAATAGTTGCACAGCAAGGGGCCGAGTGGATGAGGGCGAGGTTGCCGCCTTGCGTACTCCAAATGCAAGTAGTTTGAGGGCAATGTTTTTAAACTTGGAAAGTGACCTCGCTTGTAATACAATGGCCACACTGCATTGTCAAACGACACTGCCTTGCTGTAGACGGAGCGCCTCTTCCTGTGCGCCGCGGCATCTCACGCCGACTCGCATCTCACACACTCGTGTCGACACGTTTTAAAGGACACCCCCCCCCCCCCCATGTGGCACAAGGTGCCTCAGCACGTGACCTGCGAGCAGCTCTTAGTTTGCTTACTAGGGGACGATGATCGCTCCGTGGTCTAGCCGAGGGCACCCCTAGTGGCAGCTGTCCCTATGCGGCACACACGGGCCACGCAGCACGTGGCCTGATTGACAGCGCGCACTGTGTTCTGGTTAACACATCTGAAGTGTTAACACCCCTGATGTGTTGTCCAGGGCTGCCTGCCAGATTCCAACCGCGAACCTCTGGGACAAGCGGCGAACGTGCTACCGCTGCCTGTGTTGATGCATACACACACACACATATGCATCATATGTACACCCTCTATATGCGTATGGGTGTTTCTAAGTATTTGGATATACGTCTAATTCAGTGTGATTTCACACGTACGAGTAGAATATAAGTGTACATTATGTGTGTGGTTTGTATGTATGTGCAATACGCACATACCTGCACGTGTGTACTTATATGTGCATACAATACACGCGTGTGTGTGTGCACCCCGCGCATGCTATATCTGTGTGGATATGTGGTTACTGCAGTTTTTAAAGCATCACGAATATATACAGGTACGTATAGGAATATTTGTGTGCACCCACATTATAGCATATTTGCATATGCCATATTGCTGGTGTGTATGTAAACTATACATGTGAACATTTGCATATGTATACACCCTTGTGTATCTGCTGATGTGTACACGTGTGTGTAGACCGCATGCACACACACACGTGTGTGTGTATAATTGTACACATACGTGTGTACGTGTGTATGTATGTGTAAATCTGTAACGAGAGAGACACACACACCTACGTACGCGTCTAACGACGATTCTCAACTACCTGGCGGACAAGACACCCAACTTGACGCATTCGGCAATTACACTGTGGCCTTAAAACGGAATAACAAGATATAATCGGCGACGTTCCGGGCAATGGGCCTTCTTCAGAGCACACGAAGAAGGGTCACACCGAACAACACTAAGCACTGCCATTGGTGCTGCTGCTACTGTTGCTGCTGTTATTGATGCTGCTACTGCTGTGGTTGTTGATGCTGCTGCTACTGCTGTTGTTGTTGATCGTTTCTCCGCCGTAGTTGCTGCGACTGCTGTTGCTGCTACTGTCGCTGTTGTCGCCGCCACTGTTGATGTAAGCAGTGTTGTTGACGCTGCTGCTGCTGCTATTCGACTTGTTGTTGTGCTTGTTGTTGTTGTTGTGCTTGTTGTTGTTGTAGTCGTTGTAGTTGTGCCTGGGTTCCCACGGTGTCGGAGTGGCGCCCGGGAGCGAACTTGGCCGTGTCGGCTTCAGGACGCGGTAATGCGCCACGAAGCCGCGGTCGGTCACAGACGAATCCGATCGGAACTTGAGGGTCATCACGTTACCTGGGGGGCGGAGTGGGGCAGTGGGGGGGGGGGGGTAGGCATGGGGCAGGGGTTGGATATCACAGGGACATCAGAGCGCATGTCAGGACGACGTACCCCTGGCGATCCAGCGCCCGCTTGGGAGACGAGGGTTTGTGCATCACAGCGACTTATGAGATATCACACTCGCCCGGGACTGCGAGAGTCCGCGGCGTGGAGCGAATGGATTCTCGCAACCATCTGTGCGGAATTATATTTGTAGGCGTCTGTACACTCGTACGCGTGGAGTTTCTCCAGGTTACTCGGGTTTCATTCCCCCATCGGGTCAAACTCTCATTCATGGAACGAACCAAACACGCGCGCACCTGGGCGTGATTCTGAAGTCGTGTGTCTCTCTGTCTCTCTCCGTCTCTCTCTCTCTCTGTGTCTCTCTGTCTCTCTCTGTCTCTCTCTGTCTCTCTCCGTCTCTCTCTCTGTCTCTCTCTCTCGCGTTAGACTCGTGTGTTCTGTCCTTGCGGCACGATGGCAAGACGTTCAGGAGCCGAATGCCACCAACGTCGACGCCTGCTGCCGGCCACGACGAGAGAGCTTCAGGAGAGAGAGGGCGAGAGGGCGACAGATCGAGGCAGTTCGTGCCGTTTTTATTTCCCTCCTCCTCCGTTGCAAACGCACAGACCTGCAGTGGTTCACGACTCCGCCCCAATAGTTTGGGCTGCATGGCCACAGTCGCACTGTGCGTGGCTTGCCTCCTGCCGGGAGTGGTTGTGCCGCTACGAGAAGGTGAAGCTGCGTGATGTGGCGAGTGTACGAGCGAGTGGGGTGCGAGAGGGGGGGGGGGTCTTACTTGTGCTGACGATATCTTCGGGTAACTCGCTGCCACAGAACCTGCGACGGGAGAGACGGCGGCGTGAACGTCAGCGCCCCAAGTTGGTGCGTTACTCCGCAACCTGCGATGAGCACGGGCTGGTGGCCACGTGCTCAGGCGCGAGCGAGGCTCCACCAAGACCCGCCAATCGCGACGAAGCGACTGTGACGTCACCACGCGCGCCCGTGCCAGGCGAGGTGCACTTCGAGGCCATATTTTGCTGTCTTTTCTTGGATTTTCTGTTTGCACTCAGTCAATTTAAGATGTTTTCTTGTTCATGTTTTTGTTTTTTTTTGCACCCGATTCAAGAGCCGAATGGCTCACAGGGCGTGTACCTAATAAATGAAACTTGAATAAATAATTAAACTTGAAAACGTGAAGCGTCGAAGGCTCGCTGACGGGAGGTCACGGGAACAAGACCCAGGTGCAATGGGTTGACTGACTGAGTTGACTGGGAGATGCACCCATGTGTGCCCCCTATACCCACACAGCTCACGGCTAGAATTAACAGTACAGCAAATAGGTTGTCGCGTGCGTTTGATCGGATCAACCCGGAGCTGCGCTCGATCCCAGTCGGGATCTCGGAAGCTAAGCAGACTCCAGCCTGGACATCGTTCGGGTGCGTGACGGGGGCTTAGCGGTAGAGGCACGTGTCACGAGTGAGTGCTCTACTGGGATTCGAACCCGGCTCCCTTCGTCGGCGGCTCGGATGCGGCCTACATGGCCTCATCACACGCTTGCTTACGACGCACCGGATGAGGAATTGATTATTAAAATTAAAATTAACATCCTAATTATAATGAAAACCCTCCCGGAAGAGGGGAGTCGTGGCGAGTCTTGAGACTGTGAAGAGGCTTTCTTGGCAAACCAAAAATAATTGGTGCGCTCGGCCCTCTAGGGGCACCTGAAGGTCGCCGATCGAGAGGAAGGCGGCGTCAGTTGAACGCGCAAAGTGGCTCTCCTCCTCCTCCTTCTACGTAACCTGGGGTGCACACACCCCCTGGAGGTGCGAGACATGGCCAGATGTGTTTTTTGAGAAGGTAAATCATCGAAACAAATTACGCACGAGAATAATGATGATGGTGATAATGGTCAGAGGCGTCTATCGGGGTGTGGGAGCCAGGGGGGATCGTGTGGGCCCCCCTCGCACCCCCCCCCCCCACGAGGCCTTCAAACTAAACCGGTCGTATTACATCCGACTTCGAAGCGCGGCCCCCCTCCCCCAAATAAACACGGGGCCCGAGGCGGTCGCCCAGATTCGCCGTAGCCCGAGGGACGGTTCTGATATAATTAATGGTTCTTGGTGTCTGTACCCCGATAACAGCACTTGCTCCAACAGCCTGTCACAGGCTATACGGGGGGTCTTTGCCTGTTGGTATCTGCACCTAAACCCCAGCCAGAAGATGGTGGTGACGTGGCTGTGAGAGACCTCTCGACTCTGTGTGTAACAAAGGGCAGAACTAAAGACACACTCTGGTTGTTGTTGTTGTTGGCGGTGGTGGTGGTGACGATGATGGGACCGCGATATCTGGCAGAAGGAAGGCAGCGATGGCGCGGTGTGATGCCACGAACGGATATTTCGTTTACGGCCCCTTTGATCTTTTCCGATGAGCGCAGTTCGACGTGGGTCTTGGACACGTGGAGACGAACACCATTAATTATCACTATTTAAAGCACAAAAATGTCGTATTAGTACATTCATAAAAATGATAAAAACGACAAATATAAACGGGTGGGGTGAGGGGGGATTAGTTGAAAATAAATATATATTTAAAAATATTGGTTGCGACGGCCGGGAATCGAACCCGGGTCCACTGCTTGGAAGGCAGCTATGCTCACCACTATACCACCGTCGCGCGCGCACTCCTAAGCGCGCGCCACGCGTTCTAATTCTCGGCAGCGGAGTGGGAGAGATGGCGATGATGGAGTCACGCTGGGTGGGGTTGTTATTTTATTCCGTTAAATCGCAGTTGCTCGCCGCAGAACCAAAAAGCCGAGCGGCCAACAACAAACAAGGTTCTTATTATTATTAAACTAAGATTGGGGGGGGGCGGGGGTGATGATGGAAGGAGGAAATTCCAAAGTGGAGTCGTGCTAGGGAAAAAGCAGAACGAGAAGTGAGGTGACCTGCAGTGTGGTGAATGTGTGGGGAGTGAGTAGTGAGTGAATGCGTGAGTGGGTGGATGTGTGAGTGGGTGAATGCGTGAGTGGGTGGATGTGTGAGTGGGTGAATGCGTGAGTGGGTGGATGTGTGAATGGATGTGTGAGTGGATGCATGTGTGAGTAAGTGAATATGTGAGTGAGTGAATATGAGTGGGTAAATGTGTGAGTGAGTGAATGTGTGAGTGGGTGCATGTGTGAGTGGGTGAATGTGTGAGTGAGTAAATGTGTGAGTGAGTTGGTGAATGTGTGAATGTGTGAGCGGGGAATGTGTGAGTGGGTGAATGTGTGAGTGAGTGGCTGAATGTGTGATTGAATGAGTGCGTATTTGTGGCATGCAGTGTGAATGCTGTACATGCTCGTTAGGATATCGTCGAAAGAGTCTGGAAGACCGAGTCCTCAACATGGGTGGAGAGTTGCAGACACGAGAGAGAGAGGTGAACGGGAAGGGTACCCACGGTAGTCGCGATAGAAGAGTGACAGGGAGACGACTGCCTACCGATGAGCGAGTTACTGGAGCGAATCCGTGAGTGCTGGACCATCAATCGCCCTGACTGCTCCACAATGTTTGAATTTAAGAATAACGTCAGGGTCGCTTAAATCATTAGCACTACCTTCATTGCTATAATTACATTCGTCACAGTACTCACAAAGACAAAGACTCCCCGTATAGCCTCAACAGACGTTTGGGGCAAGCGCTGCGAGTGAGTAGCACCTCTGAAGGGTCGGCACGGCACACGAGGGGGTGGGTGGCCAGCAGCACCACGCCTGACAGGACACCACTACTGCCAGCACCATCACAATAGCATCGCGGTGGCTAGGAGATGTTAACTACCTCGCGTGGTATGCAGGAGATCGTAGGTTCGATCCCGAACCCTGACGCCTGCATAGCGAGATGGTGCATGTCTCTCTCTCTCTCTCATCACCATCGCGGTGGCTAGGGGATGTTAACTGCCTCGCCTGGTATACAGGAGATCGTGGGTTCGATCCCGAACCCTGACGCCTGCATATCGAGATTCTGCGTGTCGCTCTCCCCGAGGTCGCGTGGATTTTTTCTCCGGGTCCTCCGGTTTTTCCCTTCCAAAATAAAAAGTCAACATCGCGCGTTTAAATCATTCGGCTGCTAGAAATTCCCACGCGGCAAGCAACTTCGTTGAGCTCTCATTTGTGATCGCCTCGTCCCTTCTGACACAAATAACTACGGAGCTCAGTGGGCCTTACCAGGTAAAATAATCAAACATAGTTTAGTTTACAACAGGCCTGACTTCGTCTCTCTCTCACGACCCGCGCTCGTCACGCCGCTGTGTGGCCTTCACCACCACGGCCGCAGCTCGATGACTCCTCCTTGACGATCTCCCGACTCGTGGGAGGTGGACGCCTTATTTCCCACGATGCGCTCCAGCGCGGCTTAGCGAGCTCCGTCACGTTTTGTTTATTTTATAAAATTTTATTCGAGCGGTAACAACGTTTGGCTTCCGCGAATTGCGCAAATCAAATATTGGGGGTGGGGGGCCCAACCTGACCCCCCCCACAAGCCCCGAGCTGACAATGTAGCCACGACGCCACTGAGTCCAAACGCGTGTATGTGGAACTTCTTTCGCACCGCACGTAGCCACCCGTGCTAATCACACAACACAGCACCGCCCTTGGCGCTGCAACCTCGTGGCGGTGTCGCTGCGATGGCCACGTGGCCCCTCGCCGCCTCTTGCCGGGATCGGGGGAAACAAACTCGCGGCGTTCACCGCGAACGCGTTGGGGAGGCCGTGGCCGTTCCCTTCACGCCGCGCGAACGACGAAGCTACGCGATCTCGTCGCCATCGTCACTCTCATCGCCATCATCGCCATCGTCACTCTCATCGCCATCGTCACTCTCATCGCCATCATCGTCACTCTCATCGCCATCGTCACTCTCATCGCCATCATCGCCATCGTCACTCTCATCGCCATCGTCACTCTCATCGCCATCATCGTCACTCTCATCGCCATCGTCACTCTCATCGCCATCATCGCCATCGTCACTCTCATCGCCATCGTCGCCGTCGTCGCCGCGAGCACCATCACGGTCAACGTCGCCATCGCTGCCGTCATCGGCATTCGGTGGGCGTTTAAACGACCACGCGTCAACCCTTCACCTCCACCACCAGCACCACCAGCACTGTTTGCCGCTGTAACTGTGAAAAAGAGCTTCATAGCTCATCGGATTCCTCCTCCTACAGTCTAAATACACATTCTGATTCTGAGTGGAATGGGAGGGGGGGGAGCCACTGCCCCCAGTGGGCATGCCGATACGTCGCCCCAACGTCGGCCAAACTTTCCATGTATAATGGGTTGGGGCTGTCCCTCGCTTGTCTCTCTACCTCCTCCCCTCCATCCCTCCACCTCTACCCCTCCACCTCCTCCCCTCCACCTCCTCCACCTCCTCCCCTCCACCCCTCCACCTCCTCCCCTCCCTCTCCTGCCTCCAGCGTCCCGTGGCGGCGCCCACCGTGTTTAACGACAAATGTGGCACGCTCACACCGCATCACACCACACCTGCACCCGCACCACATCACACCACATCGCACCACACCTGCCCACGAGCCCCGAGACGTCGTCGTAGCTGTCGTAGACCTCGAGGAAGTCGGCGAGACACGCCACGGCGTCCTCCTCCACGCTGAAGTCGCTGAACGAGATGACCACGCGGCTGCCGTAGGGCACGCGGATGTGCCAGTAGCAGATGCTCCTGTCACGGTAGGCCGGGTAGTCGGGTGACGTGAAGTCCCTCTGCTCCTCCGTGAAGATGCCCCCGCACTGCTTGCCTGGTGGCGATCGGAAGACGCGTTTGCCCGCAAACTCAGGTTCGATCGCGAGCTCGTGCGCACACACGCACACCGCGCGCGATCGGATTAGAGGCAATCGGTTTTTTTTCCTGCCGATTGTTGTGAAGCAGACACACACACAAATAAAAGTGAAAGACGGACGAAGAGAAGAGCGGGGACGAACGAACGCGGAGGAGAGAATCGCGTCTGACAGAACACGGGGGGAATGAATGAACGATTCGTAGAGTGCATCGTGGCTGGTGGTGGTGGCGACCCGCTCACGGCCAACACCGGTGACGATTATCTGAACTGGTGCTGGGCCTCCCCTACGTTGGCTCAACCTCAAATGAGTACCCGGTGCGGTGTGTAAACGTCGCCGCTGGGGGAACAAAGGCGGCCGGGCGTGGTGCTGCCCCCAAGAGTCCGCCAAGGCTACACGGGGCAGCTTTGTCCTTGTTTACCCTTGGGGTTGAAGCAGTAGGCGTCCCACCGCTCCTCCTTGTCGATGCGAACGCCGTACTCGACGACGCCCTTGACGCCGAAGCCGCAGTTGTGGCTGGGCTTCACGATGGGGTAGCCCACGCGGGACCCCGCCAGCCAGCCTGCCACGCAGTTGTGCAGGCCTGGCAGAGAGAGAGAGAGACACACACACACAAATCTCCTCTTCTACACAACGCGATTATGAACTAAAGCTCAATTTTAATTTTACCAGGTAAGACCCCCCCCCTACCGCACTGAGCTGCAACGTCGCTCTCTTTTCAGTAGCGATCTGGCTCGCACGAGTGATGGCTCATCATCATCAACACGTGGCAATGTTATAGCAGCAGCTAAACAGCTCTGAACGCGTTGGTGCTGATTCTGAATGTGGAGGGGGGAGGTGGGGGACCGGAGGACCCGGAGAAAAATCCAAGCGACCACGGGGAGGGAGACGCCGCGAACTCCAAATACACAGCAGCAGGCGTCAGGGTCAGGGTCAAACGCATAGTATGGAAGTCAGAGTATGATGATGATGAGTGGCACGTGTTATGATCGACGTGATGGGGGCGAGCGGTGAGTGACAGATTCATCGATAGTTGTGATGATGACGGGTGGTGTGACGAGTGATGGCGTGACGAGTGGTGTTGTTGTGACGAGTGTTGTTGTGACGAGTGTTGGTGTGACGAGTGTTGTTGTTGTGACGAGTGGTGTTGTTGTGACGAGTGTTGTTGTTGTGACGAGTGGTGTTGTTGTGACGAGTGTTGTTGTTGTGACGAGTGGTGTTGTTGTGACGAGTGCTGTTGTTGTGACGAGTGGTGTTGTTGTGACGAGTGTTGTTGTTGTGACGAGTGGTGTTGTTGTGACGAGTGTTGTTGTTGTGACGAGTGTTGTTGTTGTGACGAGTGTTGGTGTTGTGACGAGTGTTGTTGGTGTGACGAGTGTTGTTGTTGTGACGAGTGGTGTTGTTGTGACGAGTGTTGTTGTTGTGACGAGTGTTGTTGTTGTGACGAGTGTTGTTGTGACGAGTGTTGTTGTGACGAGTGGTGTTGTTGTGACGAGTGTTGTTGTTGTGACGAATGTTGTTGTTGTGACGAGTGTTGGTGTGACGCGTCCCACCGGCCCGCTGCGCCGTGCGGAGCTGCTCCACCGTGGCGAGGTCTCCGCCCTCGAAGCGGCAGACGGCGCGCGCCTCGCGGAACGAGAGGCGGTAGCGGCCCTGCCGCGCCTCGCGGTGGTAAACACCCGCAGCGCTCTCTGCCAAGGGGACACCACGGGGGGTCACCACGGGGTCACACCACGGGGGTCACGGGGAGACACCACGGGGTTCACGGGGGGACACCACGGGGAGACACCACGGGGAGACACCACGGGAGATACCACGGGGTCACGGGGAGACACCACGGAGGTCACGGGGAACCATCACGGGGTCACACCACGGGGTTCACGGGGAGACACCACGGGGTCACACCACGGGGTTCACGGGGGGACACCACGGAGGTCACGGGGGGACACCACGGATGTCACAGGGAGACACCACGGGGTCACACCACGGGGTTCACGGGGGGACACCACGGGGTCACGGGGAGACACCACGGAGGTCACGGGGGGACACCACGGGGGGGAGGGGGGGTGCCGCAGCGGTCAAAGATGGAGCGGTCACTCTAGACTACAAACTCATCTATTTTAGTATTTTACCAGGTGAAGCCCACTGAGCTATGTAGCTCTTTTTCAAATGCGACCTGGCCACAAACGATAGCATAACGAAGTGGCTTATCACGTGGAAATGTATAGCAGCCAAATACTCTGAACGCGTGACGTTGATTCTAAATGTGGAGGGAGAAACCGGAGGTCCCGGAGAAAAATCCACGCGACCACGGCAAGAGAGAGAGGCACCGCAAACTCCAAATATACAGCAGCAGCAGGCGTCAGTTTCGGGATCGAACCACGACCTCCTGTACACCAGGCGAGGTAGTTAACATCTCCTAGCCGCCGTGGTGTGGGGTAGGGGGTAGGGTGTGGGTCGATTATGGAGAGGTCAACTCTCCCTCTTTTGTACAGCTCATGTGGATGCAGAGCAGCAACGCAGCTTCACATTGAGGCGAGCAAGCCGGACAACCGCGTCACGAGCAGCGGAGGTCACTGGTGATGGACCAATGATGAAAGCGCGTTGCAGATGGAAGGGGTCACTGATAATGGGTCAACGCTAGGGGTTAATGTTAGGGGTCAATGATAGGGGACGATGCTGGAAGGGGTCACTGATCATCATCTCTGAACTCTGCCCTCCCTCTCTGATTCGCTTTAATTCCTCAAGCACCCATCTGAAGCGATCACATTTGCCTGAAGCGCAGTGATTCATCCTCTAACGCTGAATCAGATCAATCTCAGTTGGGCATTAATCTCTCACACTATGATCTGAAGGCAACGGATTCTGTACTCGTTCCATCGTAAATATTATTTCCCCCCATTCAAGGCAGTGTTTTATTTAAAAGAACACAGCCGGAATTTGTCATCTGTTCCACTTTGGAATTCCCTCCTCCCATCATGATCTACCCCCTCCCTCCAATTATTATTTTAATAACAATAATAACAACATTGTTTGTTGTTGGCCCCTCTGCTTTTTGGGTTCTGCGGCGAGCAACTGCGATTTAAAGAAATAAACGAACAACCCCACCCAGCGTGGCTCCATCATCGCCGTCTCTCCCACTCCGCTGCCGAGAATTAGAACGCGTGGCGCGCGCTTGGGAGTGCGCGCGCGACGGTGGTATAGTGGTGAGCATAGCTGCCTTCCAAGCAGTTGACCCGGGTTCGATTCCCGGCCGTCGCAAGCGATTACTTTTACATTTTATTTTCCTCTCTCACAGACGTCAGTTTGCGGATCACGTTTGTCGCGTGTTTTTTTTTTAAATCGATGGGGTTATTAAGACGCGCGCGCCGGAAAACGCGTTTTCATTTGGATGGCGCTACATCGGTCCACGTTGTCCCGCGCCCTCGGAGCGGCGGAGGCGGTCCGGAGGGGCGCGGTGCGCTCCCTACTGACAGCGATGCGAAAATGCACGTCCCATGGCAGGTCAAGTGGAAGGGGACTCAATCGTTCAGATTCAATGTTGGGATTCAACGTCACCCCACCTCCACCTCCTCTACCCGCCGTCACACAAAGAGCACTGCTGTTGTCAAACAAAACCGTACAATGCGGTCACGATACCCAGACGGGTGATGATGATGATGATGACAGTGGCTATGACATCGATGCTGCAGCTGCTGTTGCTTCTGCGGAAGCTGCTGCTGCTGCTGATGATGATGATGACGATGATGATGATTGTGTCGATCCCTCAAGGTAGCTGAGATATGTTCAGCTCGTGACAAACTCACAACCTCCCTTCTGCTGGTCGCCATGATGAGCGACCCGGCTCTGTTGTGTGAGCGCAGCCACATGCCCTTTGTCAATCCACTGCTGGGCCATACTTCACCACGCCGGTCGTTGCGGACAGGGAAGGGGGAGGGGGGGTTCCAAGGAACCGGTTCAACAAGATACCACTCGCTTCTGGTGTTGTTACACGTGCGGCGGGGGGGGGGGTGATCGAACTCAGGTAGCCGGGTTCACAGCGCTAATCACAGCACCCACCGCTCCACCGGCTAGTCGCGGTTAAGCATCGCGTGGATAAGGCGGCGGCTCAATGAAGACGAAGTGTCTGCTGCTGATGCTGCTGCTGATGATGCTGATGCTGCTGATGCTGCTGCTGATGCTGATGCTGCTGCTGCTGATGCTGCTGCTGCTGATGATGTTGCTGCTGATGATGCTGCTGCTACTGATGCTGCTGATGCTGATGATACTGCTGATGCTGATGCTGCTGCTGATGCTAGCCAAGCACACATCGCAAAGACGACTCAACAAATGTGGCGATAACAGACGTTTCGAGCGATGACCCTTCTTCATGGCACCACAAATATATGGAGTGGACACGAGTTGGGGACTGCACTTTACGCCGTGAGGTGGACCTGTTAAGAATGAGAGTTTATGATAAAAAAAAGTTTCACGATGACCAGCTTGTTGCTTTAATTGGCACGCGAATTTTAACCTATTACGGAATAACACCCCGGGTTGCGTCGGGGATGCCTTTCTGAAAGGTTCGACGGCGAACGTCGAAACGACGTCAATCGAAGCGATGCACGACGGGTGAGCGGGTGGAGACGGAGGCTGAGAGGCGGCGGATAGCGAGAAAAGGCGTAAGTGTGGTGGGTGAAAGTGTGGGCACTCACACAACGTGTATTGTTGTAAAATGTGTCCGGCCAGCGTGGACAAGTAAGGCCAAAATACCCCTCTCGTGGAGGCTCTTCCGGCAGCAGCGCCGTGAGCGAGACATTTGCAGAGCTGCGCCTTTGACCTCTTACAGCGAATCTGTCAATGCCACCGCTGGATCGACGCCTCCGCACATCCTGCGTGTCGTGGTGGTGGTGGGGTTGACCATACTTCACCACGCTGGTCGACGAGGTTTGGTGAAGGCGGGAAGCATAGACGTGGGCACCACAGTACTGTACAACAATGGAGAGATTGTGCTGCAGTGGCGACGCAACGAAGCACGTACCAGGTGGGAACACGGAACGGAAGTTGAAAAGTCGTCTCGGCTGCGATGCGATTTGAAAAACCGAGCCGTGGCGTTCTAACGAGTTGGGACTTTACCCGTGGCGAACTGCTCAATCTCTCTCTCTGTCTATTTCTGTATGTCTCTCTCTCTGTGTCTCTCCCACTCTTAGTCTCTGTTTCTGTTTCTCTCTCTCTCTCTCTTAGTCTTTCTGTCTCTATGTCTCTCTCTGTGTCTCTCTCTGTCTATCTATGTGTCTCTCTCTGTATGTCTCTCTCTCTGTGTCTCTCTGTTTCTCTCTCTCTCTTAGTCTCTGTCTCTATGTCTCTCTCTCTCTGCGTCTCTCTGTGTCTCTCGCGTACTCACCGAGCCAGATGGAGTTGTGCCAGATCCCGTTCCTGAACCCCCACGCGTCCCCGTAGCGGGGCTCGCAGACGAGGAGGAGGAGGACGGTGACCACCGACGGCACGAGCGCGGGACTCCGCATAGCTCCGCGAGTTCCGCAACTACCCGAGTTGTTCCTCGAGTTGTTCCTCGAGTCCCCGAGTTGTTCCTCGAGTCCCCGAGTTGTTCCTCGAGTCTCCGAGTTGTTCCGCGAGTTGTTCCGCGAGTGACCGCGAGTCTCGCGATCTGTGTCGTTGACAGAGACCGGCGCAATTTGAATGGGGTTGTTGTTGTTCTTTATAGAAATACAAATACTAATTTGAAGATAACAATGCGTAATCTCGCTTGCGGGTGTGTGACTGCTTGAGTTGGCGAGTCGGCGTGCCTGGCCGTGCGTGTGGTGCCGCGAGGGGGCTGTCTGTCGGCCGGGGAGGGGGTCGCCGTCTCTCGCTCGCTCTCCGTGTGCGTCACCGGGGCTCTGCTCGTTGCAGGATGCTTAGAGTGCGGGTTGTTTCTCCTCGTTTATAAAGCGACCCCCCTCCACCCCCTCCACCCCACTCCGCTCTTACTCCCCCTACTCCTCCTCCTAACTCCCCCGTTTTCTCTCTGGACTCCTTCTACACCACCACCACCCCTCTTGCTGCTGCTGCTGACGGAGTCACCCACAGCGCTCCCCCACGCCCCGCCATCACGAGCACTGCCATGCATCAACTTACACAGCCGGCATCGATGCCGCACGCGTTCGTCAATAACACTGCCTTAGAGTGGCAGCAACATGCGTATGATAGGCGACGGTTCGGGCAATGATCCTTTTTAATAGCCCATAACAATCACCGACACCTTCCCCCACACTGACTTCGACAATATCTCTCCTTCATCAGCATCATAGCCATGAGCACCACCACCATCACCACTACCAAATTACACTCCACAACAACACCACCATTATCTCTGCGCTACGCTGTACCACACATGTCAACACAACCCCCCACCCATCACCACCATCACCCCAATGATTACTATCATCATCATCTCGCCACCCTTCACCACACCTCCACACAGCACATCACCAGCACCACCACCACCACGTCAACCACCACCACCACGTCAACCACCACCACCACCACCACGTCTACCACCACCACCACGTCTACCACCACCCACCCTCCCCCGCACCGTCCCGTGGGTAGAGTCGCCCCCCCCCTTCCACCCCCCAACTAACAGCTTCCAGACGCAGACCCCGCGGCACTCAAATACAACTTCGTTAGAGAGAGGTTGGTGCAGGGTGGAGGTGGAGGAGAGATGAGGGTGGTGGGGGTGGTGGTGGAGAGACGAGGTGGTGGTGGTGGAGGAGAAACAAGGGTGGTGGAGGTTGTAGAGACTAGGTGGTGGTGGTGGAGAGACGATGATGGTGGTGGAGGAGAGACGATGTGGTGGTGTCGAGACGAGGGTGGTGGTGGTGGAGAGACTAGGGTAGTGGTGGTGTCGAGACGAGGGTGGTGGTGGTGGTGGTGGTGGAGAGACGAGGGTGGTGGTGGTGGTGGTGGTGGTGGAGAGACGAGGTGGTGGTGGTGTAGAGACGAGGTGGTGGTGGTGGAGAGACGAGGGTGGTGGTGGTGGAGGAGAGGCAAGGGTGGTGGTGGGGGGTGGGTGGGTGGGAGCGAGCGGAGGAGACGGGAGAGGAGTGGATTGAACTTGTAAACGTGGTGGTGGTTGTTGTTGTTGGTGGTGGTGGTGATGGTCGTGGTGGTAGAGTTGTTATGAAGCATGTACATTTGATGATGGCGGTGGTGGGGGGTGGTGATTGCAGAAAACAGTGGTGGTGGAATTTCTAATATATAATTTATATTAATGTATAATTGTAACATGCACAGTATTAATTCACTCTCAACGAGAGAGGAACCACAGACAAGTGGCAAGGCAGCCACACGGTGAACCGGCCACAACAATTTTCCAAGCTCTGCGGTTCTCTATATATGAAGGTGTTATCGGCCAATCCAATGGGTCTTCAAATGTGGGTGGAAACCGGAGCGACCGGAGAAAACGCACGCGTGCGAGGGAGCGCCACTCTATCCCATGCAGACTGAACAGGTGAGGTCTACATTTGCCGTGCCGCCTTAAGCCCTCTGTACCAGCGTGGACGGCACCCACCCTCGTGTTCACCTTCTGAAGTGCTCGCTCGTCACCGTGGCGTGCGCGATGACCACCACAACCACGTGACTTTTCTTTCGTGTTGTGCGCGGTGCTTTTAGCGCCACAGCGCGTGGATTTTTAGCGTTTATTTTCATTTGTTTGCTGGTGACTTTGTGTTTCATAGCGAAATCGCCTCCAGTGCTTTTGCTGCTGGCGGCAATAAAAGTTGTTTAAAAGTCAAAAAAGTCTCCTGGCAAGCCAGGGCAGGCCTACCTTCTGGACGCCAACGAGAAGGGAGTTTCACTACACTCACAGAATGAAGAATGTAAGTGTGGTGGCGGTGGTGGGTGGGGGAGGTGATGGTCGTCGTGGTGGTGATAGTAAAGGGTCGTGGTGGTTGTGCTGATGGTGGTGATGGTGGCGGTTGAATAATAACATTGATGTATCGTTGAAAAAATATTTTCATCATAATTATATTTTTCCATTGCTCGAGTTCTTTTAAAACTGGCCACCACCACTGCATGCTGTTTTATGAGACACTGAATGTTGAAACCACTCCTTGCCTACAAACATCTGAAAGTTCCCCAGCATCCATTCAAGCAAGCCGGACTGCTGATGAGACACTGGAATGTCGAAACCAGTCCAGAGTTTCGCTTGAGTTCAACGAAATACTGTTGAAACGATGCTCTTCCAGGAGGCCGTGTGGCTGATGTGATGTGTACAAAAATTGTTTTTTATTTGTTTTGTTTCGTGTAGAAATAAATGAGGACGCCAATTGCTTGCTAATTTATTTTGTAATGATGATGATGTTGTTGAGTATTAAATAATGGGATAGACCAGCTATTGTTTTTGGCCTCAGTTCGGAACTTTACTGGAGTACAAAAAAAAATCACCCCTCGCGTGAAAACCCCAGATGATGACTCAACTTTGGGGCCACACAACTGTGCCAATTTCACCCAATTGTGACGGTGAGGGCGGGCAGAAATTGAGAAAATCTGCAGCAGCTGCCCAAAGTTTCGCACGAATTGAACGAGGGGGAAAAATAAAATCGTAAGGGTGGACTGTTACACTCGCGTACGCAACAAAGCGCACACTTTTGAAAAAAGAATAAAAAAAGCACCCCGGATTTTGTGGATAAAGAAACAAACACAGATCTCGCTCGCCATAGCTGGCTGTGTGTTAGTGTGTATGGATGTGTGTTGGTGTGTGTGGCTGTGTGTTGGTGTGTGTGGCTGTGTGTGAGTGCGTGTGTTGGTGTGGGGGTCGCTGGTGTCACGGTTGAGCGCGTTGCCCTACGAGTTCGATTCCAGCTCACGGCCAACACCAGTGACCATTATCTGTTAGTCCTGGGCTTCGCCTAGGTCGACTCAGCCTCAAATGAGTACCTGGTGCGATGTGTAAACATCGCCACCGGGGAGACAAAGGCGGTCGGGCGTGGCGCTGGCCACCCACCCCCTCGTGTGCTGTGCAGGCCGTAATGTGTTCTCTAACTGCACTTGCCCCAACAGCCTGTTGAATGCTACACGGGGGATCTTTGTCCTTGTGAAGACGCACTATGTAAGCACGATTGCGAGTGGAACCGTAGGGGAGCAGTGGCGCAGTGGCTAGCACACTGCACTTCAAATTCGACGGCTCGGCAATGTGTGAGGGTTTTTTTTATGTTTGTCGTCTTTTGTGCCCCCCGCCCCAACCCCCTGCCCCCCCCCCACCCCCCGGGTCCCCCCCCGCCCCCCCGCCCCCCCCCCCGCCGCGTGTCTAAACGCAACACATGTGGGCACAGCCGAAGGCGGTCGCCAAAGTTGCTGCACAGCATTTGTTTCTCTAGAGCTGCTGGGGTGGAGGGGGCGGGGGGTATTAGAGAGAGTGAGCCGCTCAGTAGCAAGAGTCTGAGTTCAACTCTTGGGCTGGATTCGACTGGCCGACTGGCACCTTCAAAGACAAAGATCGGCCGCCTATTGCCTGAACAGACTGTTGGAGCAAGCGCTGTGAGCGAGTAGCAGCACCAATGAAGGCCGGCACGGCACGCGAGGGCGTGCGTGGGTGGCCAACACCACGCCCGGCCGCCTTTGTCTCCCCAATGGCGACGTTAACACACCGCTCGTTTGAGGCCCAAGTCCATCCACCAAAACACAACTGACGCTACTGACGGCGCGACTACACCGAGACCAACGCTGATGATGAATTCACTAAAAGTCTAAAACGTCGCACGGTGCGATTTTTGTTAAACCGTTAAAGCTGCTGATGGAAGAAAAAAAAGACATTCCCAGAGCGCCTTGTGACCGATGGGGTTTTGTGTAAGAGCACACTTCAACACGTGTTTATATACAAGATGCATGTGTGGGGAGGTGTACTGTCCGATATGTATTGTAATGCACGCATCCGTCTCGTGCCCACGCGGTGCTCGTAGCAAGCGGCATGTGTTTCACGTTGTGCATTTGCGGGGGAGGTTTTTGTCGCCGTAACAATGGGGGCTCAAGTACCCCGCTGCGCACATTCGAATAATTTGTTCTACTGCACGGTGTCCATGCCGCCGTCCCCCCCCCCCCATTGCACTGGAAACACTTTGGGGAGAGGGTGGGGGAGGTGAATGGTTCGCGATGCGGGTTAAGCCCCGCTCCTTTAAAACACCCGGCAGTTCTCCAGCACTGATTCAGACCAAGCCTGGCTGCTGCTGCTGCTGCGTCGAAATCACTGCAGAGTTTGCTCGGAAGTGAACCAATGCTGGCGAAATTGTGCACTCTCAGAAAGCCGTGGGGCGAGCGAGCTGTGTAATCATGTTTGTACGTCGAGAGAGAGAGAGAAAGACCGGTGTAACACGAAGTATACAATGCGTGTCCCTCTTCTTGGTTCTTTCGGTAAAGTAACGTAGATGGGAAATAATATAATTATAAAATAAAACATAATAAAATACAATTCTCACGACGTTTCGGCCACAACGCAAGCAGCCGTCCTCAGGTGAAGAACAGGTCTGTCGGAAAGACAGCGTCTGAATGAACCACCAAGCTTGGCAGCGTATATTTAAGCTGGGTTAGGGGGGATGAGGGCCTTGACAAAGGAATTAGCATATCAAGAGATGAATTTAGCATATTTATGGAAAATGGAGATATGGGATTAGTCACTACGCTGCCGAGCTTGGTGGTTCATTCAGACGCTGTCTTTCCGACAGACCTGTTCTTCACCTGAGGACGGCTGCTTGCGTTGTGGCCGAAACGTCGTGAGAATTGTATTTTATTCTGTTTTATTTTTATTATTTTATTACTTCCCTTCTACTTGACTTTACCGAAAGATCCAAGAAGATGAATCCCTGCAGTCACGAAAGCTTTAAGTCGAAATTTAGTGCGTGCCCCCTTTGTTATTTCTGCTATTGATATTCGCCAGCGGGACGCGCGTGATTGCATTGTTGGTCAGAGCCGTCACGCCGGCCGAGGCCGCCAGGTGGCGCTCGAGTCACAGTCCCGAATTCCCCTCCGAGGGGGGCGATTTGGTCGCATACCGCGTGACCCTTTGTCTTGACCCGTGATTCACCAATTTCTCACACAGCTCATAATAACAAGAATAAACACGGACACGCAATACATACAGACACACACACACATACAGCAGACATGGCGACACACGTACATAAAAATACAAAGGCAATTCCTCTGTGTAGCCTGAGCAAACTGTTGGGGCAAGTGCTGTTAGTGAGCACCTATGAAGGCCGGCACGGCACACGATGATGTGGGTGGCCAGCACCACGCCCGGCTGCCTTTGTCTCCCTAATGGCGATGTTTACACACCACATCAGATACTCATTTGAGTCTGAGTCGACCTAGGGGAGGCCTAAGATCGGTTCAGATATTCATCACTAATGTTGGCCATGATCTGGAATCGAATTCGGGTCGCCAGGTTCGTAGCGCAGCGCGCTAACTGCTACACTACCGCTCCCCACACACATATACAGACACACCGACACACATATATATAATGACAAAGATGCCACGTGTAGCCTACCACAAGGCTATTGGGACAAGTATTGTTAGCGATAACTTAAGAATGCTCACTATGAGTTTTGTGGCCAGCACCATACCCGGTCGCCATTGTCTCCTCAGTGCGGATGTTTAAAGACCGCACCAAGTCCTCATTTTTAAGGCTGAGTCGATCTAGGGCAGGTTCCAGGACAGGTTCAGATATTTGCCGCCTGTGTTGGTCGTCAGCGGCAATCGAACTCGGATCGCCGGGTGGTCGAGAATGTGAATAAACGGGCAATACCTCTCTTCATTGCAAAACAACACAAGTGATATTTCCATGTTTTCTGAGCCCCCTCTGGAGGTTTGGGCACTGGGCAAATGTCCACTTTGTCACTTCACTGCCCCCCCCCCCCCCAACTCAACCCGATCCTTGTTGGTCACGGGTGGACGGACACACCAACCTCATTCGACCACGAGGAGCAGTAATTAAGCGTTCATCATCATCGGCAACAGCTGCTTAGTGTAACGTCCCAGCATCCAGATTCAATTACAGTGCCACTCTCAATGCACCCAATCCAGCCCAGGAAATGATTTCATCACGTGCGTTTGTAATTTCAAATAATAAATTCCCCATGCGGCGGTGCGGCGCTCTGCGGGTTATTTTGCAAATTGAGATCGTTTTGCTAATAATCCGTTGCTGGGAAAGGAGTGGGTGGCGCAGTTGTCAGCGTGATATGCGATACGAGCGGCCACGGGTAACATCGGTGTGCGAGTGGTGGCCTTCATTTGACAAAGTGCTGAAGTCGAAAACAAAAAAAAAATCTTTAATGTTCTGCGCTGTGATGAAAGCAGCCCGTTGTGTAAAGTGGAGCCAGGTGGATTGTGACATGGCAGGGTCGTGAGAGATGGCGACTGCTTGGATAGATAGACCTTCGTGCCTGTAGTGGTAGTGACAGGGAGAGGGAATGAGCTGGAGGAGGTGACAGCGTCTTGCAAAGAGGATCTTAATCCAGCAGTGGATGAACCATGGCTGCTGCTGATGATGATTGTTATGAGTTTTTTTCCAAAAAATGCCCCCTCCCCCCTTCCTCCCCTACCCCTTTACAAATCCACATGGCAATGTTTAAATTTGAAAAAGCCGTGCAATTTGTCAAGGCACGGTTGTAATATGACTGGTGGAACATTAGCAAATTAACATTGCCAATTCCAACATTCGCGGCAATGGGACGACGCTGATAATTATTTATTCAAAGAAATTGAACGAGCGATGACGACAATGACGACGAGGACCACGATGAGTAATGGTATTAGTGACAATTAATGGCCAATTGCTACCGTAATTCCCACACCTGAGACCCAGAATCCAATTATCCCCCACACCCCCCCAACTCCCACTTGCACCCTCCCCTCATCTCCAATACCTCCACACATACGCGCCTCCACCCCCCCACACCTTCATCACCCACCCACCCTCCCTCCATCCCCCATTACCCCCCCCCCGCTCCCCCCACCCACACTTCCCCCATCGCCCACCCCCCTCCTCCACAACCTCATTCAAAATTCGTTACGGATGTGGCGAAAATTTTATTCCGAGCGCGCGTGCGTAAGCGTGTGTGAAGCTGTGTGGAGCGGTGGCGCGGTGGTTAGCGCACTGCGCTAGGAACCCGGCGACCCGAGTTCGATCCCCGCGCTCCCGGCCAACGCCAGTGACGATTATTTGAACCGATCCTAGGCCTCCCCTAGGTCGACTCGGCCTCAAATGAGCACCTGATGAGATGTGTAAACATCGAGACAAAGGCGGGCGGGCGTGATGCTGGCCATCCACCCCGTCGTGTGTCGTGCCGACCTTCATAGGTGCTCGCTAACAGCACTTGTCCCAACAGTCTGTCGAGCCTACACGGGGGGTCTTTGGCAGTGGCGCATAATAACGTGATGGTTAATCTATTTGTCGATTTTCTGAAGACAATTACGATTGCGATTGCCCTCATGGAATCGTGCGCGTATTGATCGATCCGTTTTTATTTACGTTTAAAGTGTTTGCTGTCATTATGATACTATTGCACCCTGAATGGATTATTGGAAAGCTAAGCACGGTTGAGCCCGAATAGACCTTGGATAAACCAGGTGTTATAGGCTGCGGGCCGAAGGTGTCGACAGTGGGCATTGCAACACACCCGGCGTTGTACTGTGAGCCTATGTTCCTCGCCCCCCCCCCAACCCGCACCGATCACTCGCACCGGATGACGGGCACACAAACACCACAGCCGTCAAATTTCGATGTAAATCTTTCGTGACTGCAGGGATTCATCTTCTTGGTTCTTTCGGTAAAGTCACGTAGAAGGGAAATACTAAAATAATAAAAAATAAAACATAATAAAATACCTGAGGACGGCTGCTTGCGTTGTGGCCAAAACGTCGTGAGAATTGTATTTTATTATGTTTAATTTTTATTATTTTATCATTTCCCTTCTACGTGACTTTACCGAAAGAACCAAGAAGACCACCGCCGTCCCTCGGGGCACGGCGGGTTTGGGGCGACCGCTCCGGGCCACCCCGCGCTTCGCCGTCAGTGTTAGATGTCATACTTCAGGTTTGTATCAATGGGACCCTTTTGCCAATATCCAAGATGATATATTATTTATCAGAGCATGCGTTCGTCTGCCTGTTTTGCCCCAAGCATGTGTGGTTAATGCCGACTTGATGCCTTGACAAAGGAGTCTATTTGGCGTTTGAACATCTTAACATCTCCTGTTTTATTGCCAGAAAGGCTAAAACCTATTCTCATTTTTCATCACCGCAGATTTAGTTTGAAGGCGTTGGGGGGGGGGGGTTGCCCAAAGGCCCCGCAGCCACCGCCTATGGACGCCCCTGGCCACAACCCAGCGCTTCACTTATTCATTCGCTCGTGACCTTATTTTGGAGAGGGCCCTGCCACGTGTTCACACCAGCGCAGGGCTCGTCAACCAAAAGTAACAATGAGAGCTTTTCTCGTTTGTTTGTTCGATTCCAGAAGCAAACTCAAGACGGTATTCCCAGAGCCGCGATGCACTGTGTGGTGAATACGTCAGACGCTGTTGGTTCCTGACTAAATAACGAGTCACGAGGCAGCAACCCTTCAAGAGCCACCGCAAGTAGCCGACCCGGAGCCGAAAGTCGCCGACCCCTGCAGGAGCGAGACGATGATTGTGCTTTGTCGAAAATTGTGGGTTTTTTTTTGGGCCCACGACCCCCGGCACGCACAGCGGCCCGGCTCTTGCGAATGACGCCACGGGATATGTAATGTCCCACGTGTGACGCAGACGGCATATTTACGGTCGTTAATGCCACCACACGCACTACGCCGCAGCGAATTTGAACCGTGACTGTGTGCGACAAACGTTTCCCAGGTAGGTGACAAGACCATTTTGTTGAACCAGATGAGAATTCACGAAGCCAGGATGAGACTGGTTGGGATCAAAGTGATTTGGCCGGTGGCGTCGTGACGACATCGTCCTCAGCTCAGGGGGTGCGGCAATATTCGATTTGTCTCGCGAGATCGCACCTAGAGGCTGGTCTATATCGCGGCTCTGCTTGCCCTACTAATCGCAGCGTCGCTACACAAGTGTTTGTTGTTCTATTACACTGTTGTTGTTGTTGTTGAAAATATATCTCATCATGGTGGTCGTCAAGGGAGGCCCCAACTGGTAGTCTTGGCCACCATGTGGCTGGGTGGGCAAGGCACCCCCAGCCCGCCCCACGTTCGTTACGCGACTGGATCTGGGCCACCAAAGTGACAGAGAAGTCAAACGAATCAAGTTCTGTCACCTTACGGAAGTGAAGCGAATAGAAATGAGAGAGAGAGAAAAAAACAGCCGTGTCACGTCACCAGGAACTCAACGTATTCGTCAACAACACTGGCAGAACATTCTTCAATAGGTGGATGTTTGGAGCAATGGCTCTTCATCGTAGCACGTACATACCCATTGGGCCCCAACGTTCCATGTCTACTATAGGTGGAGAGGCCAGAGGGGTGGAGCGGTTGAAGTTGGACGGACCATGTGTCGGATAAGCCGTGACCTTGCATCAAGGTCACGGCTTATCGACGTTACAAGCAAGTGCAGGATCTGGCAGCAGAGGGAAGGAAGCGATGGCGAGGTGCGGTCTGCGATAGGCATCACTGCCACTGGCACATTCCACGTGATGTATATGGCGAGAGGGGCGGGGTGGGGGGGGCGTTGGGCGAGAGGAGGGGGAAGCGGGGGAGGGGCGAGGGGAAGGGTGGGGGTTGGGCAAGGGGGGGGGACGTGGGGGGGGGGTTGGGCGAGAAGGGGGCGGGGGGAGATTAAAACCGAGAATCGAAACCGACAGCCGCCGGAATCGTTTCAAGTAGAAATCGATAGAATCGATGGAATCGATAGACGAGGCTTGAAGACGCCGCTCATCGTGCGATGCTCGCTGCTGCCGCTGCAGCTGCTGTGGGTTTCGGTGTCGGTGTCGTATAGAGAGGAGGGAGTGTAGCTGCTGCTGCTGTGCGTGACGACAGCGATGGTGCTGGGAGGACGCGCGAGGTTGCAGGCGGAGACGCCGTGAGCTGCCCGGGCGATGATGATGGTGGTGGTGGTGATGGTGGTGGAGGAGTGATTCTGGTGGTGAGTTTATTCCATCGTGGCGGGGTCGTGTGTTGCTGGGTGGCGGGTTTCGTGGAATCGGGCTGTGTGTGTGTGTCGGTGTGTGTGTGTCGGTGTGTGTGTCTGTGTCGGTGTGTGTGTCGGTGTGTGTGTGTCTGTGTGTGTGCCAGTGTGTGTGCCAGTGTGTGTCTGTGTGTGTCAGTCTGTGTGTCAGTGTGTGTGTGTCTGTGTGTGTGTCAGTCTGTATGTGTCTGTGTGTCTGTGTCAGTGTGTGTGTCTGTGTCAGTGTGTGTGTCAGCATGTGTCAGTGTGTGTGTCAGCATGTGTCTGTGTGTGTCAGCATGTGTCTGTGTGTGTCAGCATGTGTCGGTGTGTGTCAGCATGTGTCGGTGTGTGTGTCAGTGTGTGTGTGTGTGTGTGTCAGTGTGTGTGTGTGTCAGTGTGTGTGTGTGTCAGTGTGTGTCAGTGTGTGTGTGTCTGTGTGTGTCAGTGTGTGTCAGTGTGTGTGTGTCAGTGTGTGTCAGTGTGTGTGTGTCAGTGTGTGTGTCTGTGTCAGTGTGTGTCAGTGTGTGTGTCTGTGTCAGTGTGTGTCAGTGTGTGTGTCTGTGTCAGTGTGTGTCAGCGTGTGTGTCTGTGTCAGTGTGTGTCAGCATGTGTCTCTGTGTCAGTGTGTGTCAGCATGTGTCTCTGTGTCAGTGTGTGTCGGTGTGGGGAGCGGTGGTGCAGCGGTTAGCGCCGCGCTACGAACCCGGCGACCCGAGTTCGGTTCCCGCTCACGGCCAGCAACGCCGGTGACGATTGTCTGAACCGGTCCTGGGCCTCCCCTAGGTCGACTCAGCCTCAAAATGGGTACCTGGTGCGGTGTGTGAGCATCGCCACTGGGGAGACAAAGGCGGCCGGGCGTGGTGTTGGCCAGCCACCCCCTCGTGTGTCGTGCCGGCTTTCATAGGTGCTGCTCGCTAACAGCACTTGCCCCTACAGTCTGTTACAGGCTACACGGGGGACCTTTGCCTGTGTGTGTGTATACGGTGCGACATACATGATGCTCCCCAACATGTCTGTAGTATACAATGTACGCACATTAAACACGAAATACATAAATACATATACCACACATACACAATGGTACATGCTTAGCGTACAATACGTGCACAATACAGTCAAATATAGACACCGCACCCTTTACACGGCATACCAACTAAACCCAGCGTACGAATACTACACATGCATTGTAAATACACAGCATAATCACGATGTAAATACACAGCATAATCACGATGTAAATACACAGCATAATCACGATGTAAATACACAGCATGATCACGATGTAAATACACAGCATAATCACGATGTAAATACACAGCATGATCACGATGCACACACTGCATACAATACACTGCATGTGTGTGTCTCTCTCTCGTGCTAAAGCCGAGTGCAGGAGACGCCGGTCACTGGGAGGAGACATTGGTCACTGGGAGACACTGGTTACTGGGAGGAGACACTGGTGACTTGGAGACTCGGCCACTTGGAGACACTGGTGGCTTGGAGGAGACACCGGCCACTGGGAGACACTGGTGACTGAGACACCGGTCACTGGGAGACACTGGTGACTTGGAGGAGACACCGGCCACTGGGAGACACCGGCTACTGAGACACCGGCCACTGAGACACCGGCCACTGGGAGACACTGGTGACTTGGAGGAGACACCGGCCACTGGGAGACACTGGCCACTGGGAGGAGACACCGGTGACTGGGAGACACCGGCCACTGAGACTCCGGTGACCCGCTGCGAGGAGGAGACGCTGCCTGCCTGCCCTACGAAGCAGTCCCAGGCGCCAGCTGCTGCTGCTGCTGCTGTAGCCGGTACAGCGATGGCAGCGAGCGCAGGAGGAGGAGGAGGTGGAGGAGGAGGTGGACGTAGGAACAAGACGACGTCGAGGAAGAAGCACTTCGTGTCCCAGAAGATGAAGCTCTTCCGAGCGAGTGACCCCCTATTCAGCGTCCTCATGTGGGGAGTCAACCACTCGGTACGTGTACCTGGCTCCACTGCTCCATTGCCATTGGAGAGGTGTTGTGGGATATGTCGCGTACATGTATAAATGTTGTGTCGTTAAACCCGCCACCACCCGACACGGCCAATTAGTAAGGTTTGCCACTTAAACCGAACGTGCAAATCAGTCACTCGTACAGCACACCGGTGTGTTGGGGAGTAAATCCACAACATTTACAATCTTGAGTACGACGTAGTGACGAATTGGCACGTTCTGTTTCCGTGACAGACCTTACTAATTGGCTGTGTCGGCTGGTGGCGGGTTTAACAACACAACATTTATATATTTACGTGATCTCACCCAAAAAAACCCTCTTGTGGATAATATTGGCCACGATTGCCTCCTACTACTACGTGTTAAACCAACCTCATTTCCCCTAATCCAAGGGACAAATAGGACTTTCAAAAGCCCGTACATTCGGAAGGCCCATACATTAACAAAAAGACAAAGATATCCTCCGCTATAGCCTTAACAGACTGTAGGGGCAAGTGCTGTTAGTGAGCGCCTATGAAGGCCGGAACAGCACACGAGGGGGTGGGTGGCCAGCACCACGCCCGGCCGCCTTTGTCTCCGCAGTGGCGATGTTTACACACCGCAACCAGGCACTCATTCGAGGCCGAGTCGACCTAGGGGAGGCCCAGGACCAGTTCAGATAATCCTCACTGGTGGCCGGGTTCATAGTGCAGCTGGCTAACCGCACTACACTAGCGCTCCCCCAACACACACACGGACACATTCACTCACCACTGCCACGGTATAAAATGCAGAACTTCCCTCTAGTAGCCAATTAGTGCGGCTAATCTGGCCCGATTAGTGCACGTGTATTTTTCTCCGGGTCCTCCGGTTTTTCCCTCAATATTCATAAACGTGCGTTTAGGATATTTGGCTACTGCATATTTCCACGATGATAAGCCACTTCGTTGAGCTATCATTTGTGAAAGCCAGGTTGCTTCTGCAAAAGAAATATACATCCTAGTGGGGCCTTATCTGGTAAAATAAAAAAAAATTGTTCAAATTAATTCCGCGATTATGTTGCTGGGAATGCGTTTCTTACTGCCACCTCTTCCAAGACGATATTGACCAGTGTGGACGAGTAGACCAAGTACCCCTGTAGAGGAGGCTCTCGAGGGCTCCCGCGAGTGGGAGGACACTTCTGCCAGCAGGGCTGTGAGCCAGCAACTTGCGTGGCTGCGCCTTTTACCTCCTTAGAGCCAATCTGACAATTCCACGACTGCCTTGGGACATTTTTGGCAGTATCAAAGCATGAAAAACTAGTTCATGAAGCCTGTCTTCGCCAAGCAAAAGTTTTCAATCGATGTCATAATTAACCTCACGTGATTTTTTTTACAATTTGTATTCAGGTCAGACACTAACAACTACTGCCAAAAATGTTTGTATTTTTCCGCAAATAACCCTTAAATTGTTGACGACTTTGATTCAACTTCTCATATTTAAAGACGTTAGAAAGAACAAAAAAATAATGAACTTAATAATCTTTGAGGGGAAGCTCTCCTCTCTTCAACACTGGCGGGGGGGGAGGGAGTGATAAAGTAACTCGTGAGTTTACGACACGGAGACAACTTGTTAAAAACTCAACGATACAGTTTGCTTGTCAAACATAACGCGCAAAATATATTGTGGTCAAGACAGAATTGTTGTACGTTCTTGAGTGGACGCAAGGGACGCGACTTAACAAAAACCCCCAATTGTGGTGAATGTAGCGGCCACTAGCGGATGTGGAGGTCACGTGAGCCCATTGCCGCACACACGAATACAGCAGCATGTTTCTTACCCAATTGCATGCCACGTACAGTACAGTAAAACCTCGGATTGCGAGCAAAATTCGTTCCGGAAACGTGCTTGTAATCCAAAGCACTCGTATATCAAAGCACTCGTATATCAAAGCACTGGTATATCAGTTGTGATCACGTGACGCTCGGCAGACAAAGCGTAGACACGTACTACTCGTTTTGCAAGACCTCGCTCGTTTATAAAATTAATATTTATTTAAAAATTTTGCTCGTCTTGCAAAACACTCGCAGACCAAGTAACTCGCAATCCAAGGTTTTACTGTTCTATCAAGTTATCCCAAGCTTGGGGATCATTGTTAATCAATGGATCGTTGGACCGAGGGCGTCATCTCTCGCTCGGTTATATGGCTTGGAGCAAGGCTTCTTGGCGTAAGGCACTACCACCTGGAGTACAGCTATATTATTCTACTATATTATCCCACACTACGACGAACGGGTTTTGGAGAGAATAAGTAAATGAAACCCCTCGACAACACATCCGTCGATACCACTGCCTTGCAAGAAAATGTCGCACGTGCAGCAGAGGCCATTGCCGAAAACGTCGCCTAATTAGATTTATATTATTTTTCCTTTTTAAGGCCACAGTGTTATTGACAATTGTGTTGAATGTTTATTCGTGTTTGTGCTTGTGCCCCACCTGGCAACGCATCAGCACCACCACCACCAAGTATTAATTAGGTTTTCAGGATAACATAAGGTCGCGATGGATGCGGCGGCGTGGCCAAAGGAACTCTCGGAGCGGCGTTCCGGAATGCTCCGGCTGAAATTAAGTAAAGGTTACGACCCTTCTAAAAAAACCACCCGCGATTTCCCCGTGGATGCTCGCGGATCTTGACGCGAGGATGATCGAGTCTTTTTTTATTTTTGCGCGCGCGCGCGGATATCACCAGGTCACACCCGGAGGCGAGGGCGCGCTTAATTACTATTGTAATTGTGTCGCGCGTAAGGAATCTCGATGACAAATGTCGTTGCGATTGCAGCTGGCGGTGCTGCTCTGAATGTAAAGCGGCAACCAAAAAGAAGACTCGGCGCGTTAGTCAGCGACACTCTGGGCTTGAAAGGAAGCGGTCCAATAGACGACGTTTCGGGCAACAGCCCTTTTTCACGGTGCTATGAAAAAGGATGCGTTTGCTATCGAGGCCGCACAGTGGCGTTGAGACTGAGTTGTGCTTGTGAACCTGCTGCAGCCCAGCGTAGGCGGGGGAGCAGCATCGGTGGTGAGATGTTAACTACCTCGCCTGGTATACAGGAGGTCGTGGGTTCGATTCCGGACCCTGACCCCTGGTGTATATTTGGAGCTTGAGATCACAATGCAGAGACGCCTCGACTTATGAACGAGTTAGGTTCCAGAGGTCTGTCCATAAGTCGATTTGTTCGTAAGTCCAACTTTACTCCTGTCGCTTCCAAACATGTTGTACAGCGTGTGCACTAGACACGGGGAGTGGCTTTAAAAGTTATATAATCTCCTGTAGATGTAGATGCCACTGGTTCCTCACGTCCTGCAGATGTAGATGCCACCACCAACATCTATTGCGCGGCGGTTAAACTTACGATTCTCGGTCCGAACAGGCAACTGGACATAGACAGGTTTATTCGTTTCTCTGAAAGTTTGTAAGTCGAATGTTCGTAAGTAGAGGATTCCCTGTAATGTGTTCAAATTGAGCACCGCGCTCGCTGCGGCGGAGCGCCCGGCGTGATGGCCAACGAAGCTGATCGGCATGTCGCCACCGCCTTCCCCCGTTGTGTCGTCTGTGGCAGATCAACGAGCTGGCGCACGTGCCGGCGCGCGTCATGCTGCTGCCCGACGACTTCAAGGCGCACACCAAGACCAAGGTGGACAACCACCTCTTCAACAAGTGAGTCCGTCCTTGGTGGGGGTGGGGGTGGGGGAGGGGGGCTTGGTAGACGTGGGGTCGGTGAGGGGTTTTGTCCTATCTCATCACTGAGAGGGGTCTGAATGTGACATCTTACTATTCTTTGGGTCTTTCGGTAAAGTCACGTAGATAGAAAAAAAAAATTTGAAAAATAAAAATGAAGTGAATAAAAAATGAATAAAAATATCACGACGTTTCGATCGCAACACAAGGAATCGAAAAAAGAGGGGGACGATTCCTTGTGTTGCGATCGAAATGTCGTGATATTTTTATTCATTTTTATTCACTTTACTTTCATTTTTATCTTTTTATTATTTTTTATATCTACGTGACTTTACCGAAAGACCCAAAGAATACAAGGAATTGTCATCAGGAGAAAAAAAAGGGGGAAAGCTGCTGAAGCAGGCTGTTTTAAAGGTTTGAAATGGGTGTAGCCCAAGGGTCATAAACGAAGTAGGCGAGGCTAGTGATGTTAAAGTGAGAACTTTGCAGTGTAAATGTTCGATCGGAGAGAGAAATCGTAGCTCTTGCTCTGCATCTACATCAGCAGCCGTACGGGGTTGTCCCCCCCCCCCCCCGCACGAACGGGATGATAGGCGGCGGCGAGGTACAGAAAGCGACAGACAGAGGAGATACAGAGAGAGTGGCACGGAGCTAAACAGAGACGGACACACACGGAGACAGACACACGCAGAGTGTCTATTCCTGTCCCACTCATTCTCCGCTCCAGAAACCCGAGGCTTTCTGTTTGAAGCCCCCAGTCAACGTCTGCTCAGTGGGGGAGTTTGCTTATTCTCCTCTGCTGCCGGAAGAATCGATGATTTGTCCATCTGAATGTTTTACTGCCCTCACTTTATCTCGTTTTTCACTTCCCTTGTCTTGTTTGTACGATTTTTTTTTCACTTGCTCCGTTCGTCTAAACGCAACGGCAGGAAGTCTCCCGCGCGTGATTTGCACGAGTCGCGAGCGGTCGATGCTTGCGCTCAAGATCCGATGGATAGCGAGATGGACCGGTGGCCGCACTGAACCGCTAGCGATGGTCCACGGCATGGGGGATGCCTTCATCCAGCAGCAGATAAACAATGGCTGATGATGATCGCAGTCTTACAAATCTATTTAAATCGATGCATTGTTCCATGCTTGAATCATCACCCTGGTCAGATAACAGTGTAGTGCTGGTTTAAATCTGTAAGTGTATGAGCTAATACTGTCGTATGATACGAACTCCTTGATATTTAATTTATTTAATACCTACAGACCTGCCCGGTTATTGTATTACATTTCCATCACTTGTGCTTTTAGGCATCTTTGCCAACACAGGGTGTGGTGGCTGTGATGACATAATAAGGATGATGATGATGATACCGTATTCTCCAGATTATAAGACACACTTTCTAACCCCCACCGTTTCCCTCTGTATTTTAAAGCCAAAGTTTTTGCGGTACGTCTTACTTTCCGCGGCGTCTCATACCGGAGAATACGGTAATCGGGAGGATGATGGTGATGATGATTATGGGGGGGAAATTCATTACAGCAGCGGTGGGTCGATGCTGACGCTAGGTCTGCCGTGACAGCTGGGCGTTTGTGGCCGTGTGGCAGTACAGCAAGCGGGTTTGTGTGAGTGAACCACCGGTCGGTGTGGAACGAGCTCGTTTGGGTGTGACCCCCCCTCTCGTGTGTGTGTCAGTGTGTGTGTCACCCCCACAACTCCCAATTGGTGATGGGGCAGTAGTGAAGACAGTGGAGTTTCCCATACCTGGGTAGTGTGCTCATGACCGGCTCCAGTTTAACAGCAGAGGTTTCACTCTGAATCAGTTGAGCAGCATTATCTTTTTATCGGTCGCGTAACGCTGTGTGGAAGCTACCTGGTCTGTCGCTCCGCACGAAGCTTCAGGTCTTCTCAGCCACGGTCATTCCCTCCCTTCTCTATGCTTGAGAAATGTGGACCCCACTAATGGAACATCTTCGCCGGTTAGAAACATTTAGGCTGGCCTGCCTACTATCCATCCTGGGTTTAACCAGGCTGGATTGTGTGAGGAGCTCACAAATCATTGAAAGATCTGGACAAAATCCCTTTGGTGAGCTCTTCCGACAGGCAAGGTTGCGTTGGCTGGGTCACGTAGCCTGCATGCCCAGCCACCGCATGCCTAAACAGATTTTGTTGGGCCGGATCGAGGGGGCAAAGCGGACGTGGCACGGGCTAGAGAAGAGATGGAGTGATGTGGTACAGGAGGATGTGGAGCTGAGTGCACTTGCCGATAACTGGTACCAGCGATGTCAAGATCGGCCTCTGGAGGAGGCTCGTGAAGGATGCTACGGGGCAGTTGGAGGCAGTCGCCCTCCAACAATAACGGAGGGCGGAGGAGCGACGCTCACAACAACGAGCGGAGCGCCGGGTTGATAAAGCACAGCAAGTTGTCACAGTAGGGGGTACAGGTGGTGCATCAGCCAGTCATCTTAGTTAGCCGACCCGTGGCACCTGGGTCTGTCCCGTGACCTCCTGCCAGCAGGCGTGTGACACTTCACGTGGCCTCAACGTGCACATGGCCTGGCACAAGCGTCGTGGCGACGTCACCGCCTCTTGGTGGCGAATGGCGGTTGTTGTATATGTTTGGCTGTGTGTGTCTGTGTGTGTTGTTATATGTTTGGCTGTGTGTGTCTGTGTGTGCACAATGATAACGAACAGTTTTTGCTTCTCAGCACATTAGCACCACAGCTCTCAGAATTATTTACAGATGCCCCCCCCCTCCAAAAAAAAATCTCCTCCTATTGGTGACCGTGGCATCCCTGCGGCACAATGAGCCAGCGCACCACCACCGCTCTGAACCCAGTGACCTGAGTTCAATTCCCGGCCACGGCTGAACCGGTCCTGGGGCCCCCCCAAGTGCGGTGAAGTATGGTCAAACCACCCCCCTACGACCACCGAAACGGTACGGGGAGACCTTCGTTTGGCAGTGAATGGACAGAAGAGCCGTGCCGCGCTCTTTATTGTCATAATCACTGTCGACGCACTTGGACTCGCTGTTATTTTCAACACCCATTAGTTCAGTAAACGGGCAATTATGTTTTATTGCGCGCGTTCTAAACAAAAGACCGTTCCGAATGGAACGTGCCGGCTTGAAATTGCATCTTATTGCCGCTTGTCAGCTCTTTGTGTTCCACGCCCCCCCCCCCCCCCCCCCGAACACTTGTGAAGTTATTTATTCATGTTAAACCCACCATTAACCACGGGTGGCGGTTTTAGACGAGAAACTTTTTAACTGCGGGCAGCAGCTCTGTTCCAAAGGCACCGCCGCGCCGTGTCGTCGCTCGGCTGGAGTTTTCTCGTTCTGTCGCGATTCCTGGCAGCGTGTCATTAGTGGCGGCGGGGGATTATTTGGGCAGCACGATCCAAGACGGGGCGGCCGCCTCCGCCTCCCACGCAGCATCGCCTTCGAAGGGATTCTGCTCGAATGTCTCCAGCTCAACACGGGAGTCGCAGCGGTAGCAGGCTCTTCGCGACCAATATTATTCAGAATAAATGTTTTTTTGTTGGTAGGATTCGATCGCGTAAATATCGACGTGTCGTTGACTCGCGAAAACAAAACTCGCTTCAGCGTGTTGGAGTGTACAATTCGAGTACCGTGACTTTTCGCCGGCGATGACTACAACAGCAACAACGACACCAAGCAGCTTCATCGAGCGATTAGCCATGAATTGTGAATAAGTCTTCCAGTGGGTCACATCCCCCCTCCCCCCCCCTACCGCGTGGGTCTGGTTGAGAGCAGAGCTCGTCAGACCGCGCATTGCGAACATCCAGCCGCCGTGCTGCAACCACGCTGCGGAAGGGTTGCATAAAGGGCTCATTACTCAACTCCGTCGATTTGGTTGGCTTCGTTATTTATTTAGCACTGTATGGGGATTTGTTTGTATTAATTCCTCGGTGTGTCGCTGCACAGATGTCGGTGCGTGTCTGTGTAGGTCGACTCGCGCTCAAACGAGTACCCGGTGCGGTGTGTAAACATCGCCACGAGAGACAAAGGCGGCCGGGCGTGGCGCTGGCCACCCACCCCCCTCGTGTGCTGTGTCAGCCTTCATAGGTGCTCGCGAACAACGTGTGTGCACGAGTGTGCTTAAGTTAGTGCGGCTGGCGCACGCGCGCACACACGCGTGCACGCGTGTCTGTGCGCGTGTCTGTGCGTGCGAGCTGTTGATGAACCAGGCAGGCAGGAATTCCTCCGCTTACGAGTCAGAGCACGGGTGCGGCAAAGTTGCTTCTGAACCCTGCCATCACAGCTGCCTGGGGGTGGCGGGGTGAGGGAGGGGAGCAGTGGCGGTGCGGGGGGGGGGCAGACCAGCACCCCCTAAACGCGACCCGGTCACAACAACAGGCAAACCTCTTGCACAACACGACAACGTTTCCCCGTTGAGCCTGAGCAGACTGTTGGGGCAGGTGCTATTAGCGAGCATCTAATGAAGGCCGGCACGGCACACGAGAGGGTGGGTGGCTAGCACCACCCCCGGCCGCCTTTGTCTCCCTTGCAGCGATGTTTACACATCACTCACAGCACACACAACCGCACAATTGTACTACCCAGCCTATGACTGAATCACCACCGCACATGCTCCCCATCTCACCGGATCTCAGAAACTAAGCAGGGTGTGAGTCTGGATAATGCTCGGGGATGGATGATGACCGGGGGGGGGCCTTACCAGGTGTTGTAGGTTTCGTGAGGCTTGGCATTGTTATTATGATCGCGACTGTGCTGAATGGGGCCTATATCCAGCACTCAAACGTCAGCCTTCATTGGCCCAGGAAAGACTCACCGAGTCTCAAGACTCTTTTGCAGTGGCGAGATGTTTACTACCTCGCCTGGTATACAGGAGGTTGTGGGTTCGATCTCAACCCTGACACCTGTGTACTTGAAGTTTGCGTGTTTTCCCCGTGGTCACGTGGATTTTTTGCCTCGGTCCTCTGGGTTTTTCCCTCCGCATTAATAATC